AGGCAAGTGTCAACCGGCAACAGCCAATCACACTAACACCAGTCAGGACCTCATGGAGCCCTCGAGGATCATGCTGAGTTCCGGCACGGCGTCACGGAAATCACGTGCCACAGCGGCAACAAGCGTGAGTTTCAACCAGCACGAAGCGCAGCAAGTGCTTCCAAGGTTGGGCAACAGGCGGGAGGCGCAAGACAGCCATCCCCAGGAGGGCGATTTCAGTGGGATGCACTGGCACCACCAAGCATGTCCGAGCTGGAGGCGCCAAAAGCAGGCCATGAGAGCCGAGAGGAGGGTGATCCCCGAATTAGTCAGGCAAACCCCACATGCAATAAGCATAAGAGTCAGGGCCCAAACTCCGCAGAACACCCTCACACACGAGAGGACATCATACCAATCCACAGCAACAACATCAAAGATTATCGTCTCGTCGACTTCTTCCGCGGCAGATTCCGCGGCAAGTGCGAGGGATCAACGGGAAAAGCGACAATACTTGGCAGCGCATTCTGCAAAGCCGCAGCGGGCAGAGTAAACGCTAGAGGAGCTAAGGTGACACCTGCACCGATGTTTCGGATCAGCTCCGCTCGCGTGCCAGCCCACTCCTGCTGGATTGTCAGCGAACTGGGGACGGAGTTCACCAACCTCGGCGCAGACTTCAGCCGACAAGGACTTACGCAACATGTCCTATGTACTATCAGCACGAAACTGGCAGAAAGCTGACCAATCACGGCACCACCACTATTGACGCACCTTGCCTATGTGAAGGCGTAGGGCCGACGGTCCTCGACGAGGGTTTGGAACCCTTTGCCCGTTCCGCTGCCTGCTCACATTCGGCGAGACCACAGCGCACAGCAGCTTGACGAACTCCTTCAGCCCTAGAGTGCCACTCCGCTAAACGGTGCTCGACCGAGCCACCCGAACCAAGTTGGGGTAGGCCTTCGAGTAGGGACATCTGCTCGGCCGGCGTGGGCTTACGCAGCCATTTATACACAGCACACCGGTGATACCGCATCGGGGGGCCGCGACAACATGCAGACTGCAGGAAGGACCCAAGCTTGTACGTGACCGCCAGATGGTGCGGAACACCCGCGACCGGCCCCGCCGTCACCTCAGCAAAGGGCAGGCTAGGGCACCCCAAAGCGACGGCACGCGTAGGTGCAGCAAGGCTGTCTTGGACACTGGCGATACGGCTAGCACAAACGCCGCCGAAAGGCCGCAGGACATCAAGGTACGCCGGCCTCCAATTGAAGTCGCCCAAAAAGCGGATCGATTCAAACCGGCAAAGGCCCGCAGCACGGCGGCCAGGGTATCGCAATCGACATGCTGGGCATCTCCATAATAAGCGACCACCACGCCGCACTCGAAAACACGACCACAGGCCCATGAGCATTGTGCGCAGGAAGGTCAAACTCGAGGGGTGCTGAACGCCCCGACAGCCTCCAGAAGAGCGCAGCACCGCCTTGCCGAACGGAGCCGACCCGTTGACGAGGCGGGGCGGGGCTCCAGCTGCATGACCAGCCTTGCCGACGCGCCTCAACTGCGGCCCCGGCCATGGCACGGGGCCCTGGTGCCGCGTTTCCTGCAGGGCTTCGTAAGGCACGTGACATTGAGGGAACAAAGGCCGCGACGCCGAAGGCTCGAATCGACGACCCCCTCCATCAAGCTGAGTAGCAAAAACGTCCCCACCCAGCCCCGGATGCGGCTTTTTTGAGCCTGATTTGGGCTCCAATCCTGACTTTGGGCCAGAAGTGGCTAGTTTTGGGTGTAGTCCACCCGCAAGATCCTGTGCATGCTCACCCAAACCGGGAGATTGCAAGGAGGCAAACGGAACACCAGAAAGACCAGGCGCCAGCACATGATACGCATCAAGGGTGGCTCCCGGTTTGGACTGTCCCAAACCGGGAGGCGGCAAGGCGGGTGAAGGAAAACCGGAAAGTCCAGGCGTCGGTGCATGATGCTGATCGGGACACAGGTTTTCGCCACCCGCAAGAACATCACAGCATGACGACCAAGCCGCCACCGTGCTAGAACCGGCCGAGACACCTAGTCACGAGGGAAGAGATTGGCTGCGGCATGACCTGGAAGCACGCTTGGGACGGTTCGCTTGCTTGCGGCGGGCGCTTGCCTGGAACTTTTGACCAGCCGCCTTCCCCCGCACACGGTTGATCCAATCGAGCACCGAGACATTGGAAGGCCGTTTCTTGCAGGGAAACTTGCGCATATGTCCCAAATCAGCCCTCCGCCCGCACTTGCGGCAATCGTAGGTGGTACGAATCAGGGGGTAATTAGGCCGCTGCAACAGTCGAATAAAACTCCTGCAGTGGTCTCATCGGGGTCGCACGCGGCCTGCCGCCACTTCTGAGATCGCAGCTTGCGCACGAAAGCACGGTACGCATCCAGAGCGCGTTCCTTGCGCATCTGCTTAATCCGAGGGGAATTTAACTTATTGACAGCGAGTCGGCGTCGCATACCGCGATGGCTTTGGCCGATGGGGGCAGGGTGCCTTGGCACTGGCGCCAATGCGTCTTAGCGCGCACCTTAACCTGGGAGCTATTGGGGCATAACGGCGGGCGCCAACCACACGGACACTTGTAAAGATCTCCCGCATCGTACGGCGCTGAGTCGTCGAGGTTATTCCCAGGGGCAGAAGGGGTCACTGAACGGCCATCATGACCTGAATCCTTGAGACCAAGTAGAGAAGACGCGGCATGAGAGGCTACGGACTTGCGCCGGGGTTGAATCACAGGCTCGGCTATGGCAATTAAGATGCAATTTGTCACGGTGCGGCGGGAACTTAGCACGCTTGACGCTGGCACAAAAGGTGCAAATTTTCCTGCAGCAGGCAGCCTGAGCTACTGAAACATTCACGTTGCACTCAAGATATGGAGCCATCCTCAGGCAAAACATGGTTATCCATGAGGACGGGACTTTGCAACTGGCGAGGGTGACTACATTGATGTTGACAGATTTCTGGATCATTGAGTCACAAGACCAAGCATTGAGCTAACATCATATGAACGATGCCACCAGGAAAGCACACAAAAGAAGAAAACCAGCTACCAAATGACCGACAGTCCAACACCAGGACGGGTAGGACATCTCACATACAAGCACGGCGAGAGCCAATACTTGTTGCAAGCAGGAGGTGGTGCTGCAGTCATGTCAAAGCAACATCGCGGCCAAAAGCTCCATCAAAAGTAATACTGGTGGTGGCGCGGCCGATGCTGTTGGAGGTGCTGGTGCTGCTGGTGCTGCTGGTGCTGCTGGTGCTGCTGGTGCTGCTGGTGCTGCTGGTGCTCCTGGTTCTGCTGGTGCTCCTGGTTCTGCTGCTGCTGCTGCTGCTGCTGTTGCTGCTGCTGCTGGTGCTGCTGGTGCTGCTGGTGCTGCTGCTGCGGCGGCGGTGGTGGTTGGGGTAAAGTCCCGGTGAACAGGAGACAGTCACGGGTCCGAGCAAAGTCTCTTTCCAGTGTCATGTTGCAAAGCTCACACCTAAAACAGAAGAAAAGCATGAGACAAACACGACGCAACAGAATGCGCCATACCATGACATGCCCATCGTGGTTGTTAGAAGTTTGGGCTGTGCTGGTGGATTTAGTTCAGAGCAGTTGCGACATGCTGCCTTCGCCCTGATCCAGCTTACGCAGGCATGACCTTCGACACCTGTGCCTGGCTAGTGGCTTACAAGATCTTACTTTAACCCTCCACCAGCGCTCTGGGAGAGAGGCCTCAAAGCAACATTGAGTCTGCTTGACCAAAGCTATGCCCCACACCTAACAATGCTCACGATTGGACAAGTCCAAGCGTAAGTAATGTCAAAGATCAGAACTCCCAACTTGTGCAACTGCCGGCCCTACATTCCTCAACACCATCTCTGTTTTCTCCAATTGCGGCGAAGATGCGTCTCCTCCACCAATCCTCAGATCTCTCGATTAGCGTGGCGATGACGCGTGTACACCCCATGAGATTTCCTACGGAAACCGCCTGCGAGTCCCCAAACATTCCCTCCCCCCAGCTGCGGCCCCGGGATCGTCTTGTCGGAGGGCATCTGGCCGTCCGGCTGGATGCCGTGCTCGAGGCAGAAGAGCTCCCAGCAAGCATTGCCGATCTGCACGCCGCCCTGCCGGCAGCACTCAGCTGATGCCACCCTGAGCTCGCCTAACCTGAACCCAACAGATCCTGGCCCACCCGAAAACTGAGCTACAACATACCCTGAGGGGTTCTTAGCGTAAGGCTGGAGGGTTCTGAGGTTCGCGCACACTTCAGGGCCAATTTGCGAGCATGTCTCTGCGCGCTCTGAATCCGGAGCTATACAAGCCAGGATAACATAGGGGCCCTAATGTTCGGGCCCATTATACTATACTTATGATAAGGAACCCCCAAAATAGTGTGCGTAGTTATTTAGGCCCCTATATTAGCACTGCAAAGAGGAAAAGCGGGCCTGACCGATGTGGATGCAGATTGCCTCACGCATGGCTTAGTACGGAAAAGGGTCGGAAGTCACCTCGCGATGCAGTGGCCTCAGGCACCAATCCTTCTCGGGCCAAACAGCCACAACATCAAGCATGGAACGGCCAACTGGTACTATACGGCATTCATTAAAGATATCAGAACCACCACCACCAGCAACACCAGCGGTGCCACCACCATCAGCGCCACCAGCGGCAGCAGCAGCACCACCACCAACATCACACCGCACCAGCACCACCACTGCCACCATCATCTTGAGCAGCAGCAGCTTCAGCACCAGGAGAAGAACCGCTCCCTGCTCCTTCTTATGACCATCACTTTTCTTTATCACTGACCATCACCATCACCAGCATCCGCATCATCACCAAAATCATCACCGGCGCACCATCAGCATCGATGCCCTTCTTGTTATGATGTTAAGCATCATCAGAATGGTATGCGTTGTAAGTCACCAGTCATCAGGATTATAATCTGCACCAGCATCAAATTTCGCTCATCGGCCTTGACAGCTCCTGCGACCCCACTTAGCCCCGGGCTTCAGGAGCATGTCCAGGGCCACCGAGCCTGCAGTGCTTCTCTCGGCTATGAGGACCCAATTCTGGCACCGCAGCTTCGAGGTTTAGGGGCGCTCCTTCTGTACCTGCCTTGCCTTCTTCTCCTCAGCACCACGACTCGCCAGTTCAGCTTTGAGTTGGGCTCTAGGCATCTGTGTCTCAGAACCACATACACACACCCATCCTGAAATGGCTGCCTCCCTGGCCGTAGCCGAAGAGGAAGATCTCATTCAGGTGCCAACCTGCACCGCGCAATAGTGCTTCAGGGCTTCTGGCTTAGGGTCCGAGCCCTTTGAGTAGCGCCTGATATGATTTTCCTTCCAACTCTGATTCACATGGATCCAGGCTGTGCGCTGGGCCTCCGGCCGATGTCGACTGTAAGGATGCTAATGACTTTCCAGAGTAGGTCCGTGCCTTCACAGGTTAAGGATACAACGATGTTTAGGGGTTTAGGGTGGGGGCTTCAAGGTTTCTTTTTTTATCGCCTCTTTTCCTTTCCGCCTTCAAGTTGGTAGGGAATGCCTATGGGGCTTCAAGGTTAGGGTTTAAGATTTCGGGGAACGGCGGTGTTGGGGATGTGGGCATATCACCTTGGTGAGCCCTTCATAATGTTGCTAGCCTTTTCTGTCCTGGTCGCTATGCAATCTCGATTAGCTTCGACAATTTCATGAAGCAGCGATAGCCACGGTGTTCTTGTGATCCTACGTGCGTAACCATGAGCCAGGAAGACGTAGGTCTGGAATAAAAAGGATTCGCTTTTTAGCAACACGACTTGAAAACGATGTTTGAAAATCTTGCCGTAAAAGTGCCAGAACCCAATAATGACACTTGCAGCAGTGGCAACCTCAGTCAAGTGTTGAGGCATCAGGTGCACTGGCAGGGCTAGCAAACTTCAGAGAATGCTATCCTTTTCCACGCTGCAAGTCACGATCTGGAAAACGCAAAGGGCTTGTGTGGAGATGTCTGACCGACTTAACAAGACCAGTGATGTTAATGCATATGGGCCACATACGCAAAGGATCATGCTATACTTATAACTCCAGGTACCTTAATACCTTACTTACTAAGTCCCATGATCCTCCAAGTAGAAGCACGACCATAAGCTTCGGCTTCAACACCGACACTTAGTTCTTGATGACAAGAACCCTCACCAAAATGAGCACAAACATCCCCGCACTAGCTCTTCACAAGTGAAAACATCAACAGATATGATAGAAGCTAGACTTTCATTCGGCGCACTGGCCAAGCTAAGACAATGCTCAACACAGGCCATGTTAGTGCATCTGCTTTTCGCGCAGAAAGCATCCAAGTGATCCGCGCAGCTCAAGCTTCTCATTGGGTATCTACACATGAACCTAAAACCCTGAACATAGCCAGCGCAATACAATTTCAAGGATCCCTATGAAATCTTAATAAACCCTTACAAGTAGCAAACCTTTACACAGCCCTCATACAACCCTGATAACCTTATAAGACCCTGCTAAAATCCGGTCATGAGACCCCTAAAACCGAGGCCCTGACTTTCCTCCATCGACTTCAGCCTGCGGCGCTCCTCCCATGTCTAGGAAACACGAGGCCCAACTGAGGGGGCCTAGTATGTTTAGGGGTTTTTCAGGGTTTGGATTTTGAAAAGTCACGGGATAAGCTTTAGGGTTTGGGTTTAGGATAGTCCCTAAGTGCTGCTACTGGAGGCTGCTACTAGCCTTGCAAATAGACGGATACAATACTGTTGTTCGAACTACTTCATGCAACATTCAGATCAGCACAGATATTAACATCAGAATGAACATGCATAGAAATCGTGCTGCGTTTTGGTGGGATGCCCTTTTACCCGAACATCGGAACCACCACCACCACCACAACCCTGAAGCAAGATCCTCAGACTCGCTCAGCCTGCAGCCGCTTCAGGCATACATAGTCAGACCAGGGTCTGTGGGTTTTTGGGCCCCTTACCATACTGATAGGATCATGGGACTTAGTAACTAAGGTTATAATTAGGGTAACTATACTTATAACCCCAATTAAGGTACTTATAACCTTCCTTACTAAGTCCCATGACCCTCCAAGTGTATCAGGTGACCCCAGGACGACACTACAAAGCTTCAGGCGCCTCTGTGGAGGTTGCACAAGATGGGGGCCGAAGCTTCTTTTTGCTGGCCCCTTGTTAAGGGACCCCCGTATTTCCCGAAACTCCCTGTATTCTCTTCAAGAAGCCGTCTCCTTCCGAGACGGCTGGATGAAGTCCTGCGAGCTGGGCATTCCCACTACGAGCTGTGCCCGGCACGGATAGCATGAATCAGGTTCTAAATCGAGGCTTCAACAAGAACAAGAAGAACTGCCACTAGCCCAGCATAGCAGCCACCACATCATTCACTGCAACACGAGTCACACGGATGCTTCAATGTTCGAGCTACGAGGAAAGTAGCACCACCGACACGGACAAGAACAACAAGTGATTGCACGGTTACATGTAGGAACCAAACGAGTGCTGGACACTGGTGACAACAATGACGATGGAGGTGATGCTAATGATGTTCCAATGAAGTGCCACATGAACTAGTGTGCACAGAGGTCTTGACTGGAATGGCAACTGCCTCTAAACTATCCGAATAGGGACAACAATAATGGCGAAAACAAAGTAACGAACACTGTAACAAACCCTAAACCCTAAACCCTACACGGTAGTAACGAAGGCAAATCTGATACAGCTAATCATGGCTGGTACTAACAACCAAGCTGGGAATCAAGTTGGAAGGCGAAAGGGTCTTTCATAAGGCTCTTTCACACAGGGTCCAGGCTTGTAAGTATGAAATGTTGGGAGAACCCCTACTTGGAGGATCATGGGACTTAGTAAGTAAGGTTCTAAGTACCTTAATTGGGGTTATAAGTATAGTTACCCTAATTATAACCCTAGTGACTAAGTCCCATGATCCCTTAAGTACATGAATACAAAGAGGACGGCAAAAGTACCTTGCATCATCGGTAAGAATGCTGCGACTGCCTGTTGTTGACCAAAAGTTGTGGCATTGCAATCGCGATGAAGCTGATCATGCGGAGTTCAGTGTTTGCTGCAAAGCGGCCCCGGTGCTCTCGTCCCACATGGAAAACCAACTGCGCAAGGGTCATGTCGTCACAGGGCAGAGGGCTTTGGATCTTCAATATTTGATAGAGCGGATGACTTTGTATTGCCGTTACACTTGGGGCTCGTGGTTCGGAACCTGACTCGGTAGGCTCAAAGGGACTTAAACACATCGTCTTCTCGAGCAACAGAAAACTAATGGTGTGTTCGATTCTGTTCCGCATGTTCTGCGCATACTGTCACAGTCGCGATGGCGGATGACCCAGTCAACCATGCTTGTCAATATCATACTGATCATCAGCTCATCATCTTCGTCATCCTCACGACTAGTGTCATCATTGCGTCATCTTTCACATCATCCTCACCCCCGTCATCGTCGTCCTCACCATCACTACATCACCACTACCATGATCACCATAATCATTGTAGTCGTCGTCAGCATTAATGTGATCATCATCACCAGCATCATAGTCATCACCGTCAGCATCACGACGATCGTGATTGCTGGCGCGGCAAGCATCGTCGTCATCACAATGGTCGTCTCTACATCTGTAGCACCACCACCATCATCATCGGCTCATCATCATCGAAGATCATCGAAACCATCTTCTCCTCCAGTAGCACAATCATGGTCATCGTCAACATCATACCCGTAGCACTCAGGCCTAATCCTTAGAGCAGCACCAGATGTCTGCCAACGTGGCTACTATGCTGCAGGCCTGTTTCTTCTAAACTCTGGCTCTCATGCGAAGTGCTGAGGGAAAGTCAAAGATCCAATGTAACTTCGGGCAATTTAGCTTGCACTCTTAAGCAGCACCCAGCTCCCTTGGGCCACCCTGAGCCAGAGCCTGGGCTCTGCAGCACTGACCTACTGAAAACTTCAGCTCCGGGTGAAAGATCCTCCGTTTTAAAATCCTACTCACAAACCCAAGAGACCTCAAAACTCCTCACACAAAACCACACTAAGCATAAGCCCTCCGAGAACAACTCGCCAAGACTCCAGAAAAACCAAAGGCCGCCACTCGGCCCCAAGGCCCCGAGGCCCCAACCCTGAAACCCTAAACTGCGAAAACCCTAAACCCTTAACTCCCAAACCCCAAAATCGTAAACCCTAAACCCACACCCCTAAATCCTTTAGTCCTAAACCCTAAACCCTTAACTCCTAAACCCTAAACCCACACCCCTAAATCCTTTACTCCTAAACCCTAAACCCTTAACTCCTAAACCCTAAACCCACACCCCTAAACCCTTTAGTCCTACACCCTAAACTCCTAAACCCTAAACCCTTAACTCCTAAACCCTAAACCCACACCCCTAAACCCTTTAGTCCTAAACCCTAAACTCCTAAACCCTAAACCCTTAACTCCTAAACCCTAAACCCACACTCCTAAACCCCTTAAGTCCTAAACCCTAAACTCCTAAATCCCTAAGCCTGAAGCCTGGCGGGTCGTCCAGGAGCTCCTCGGGCAGAGCCTCTTCTCGCTCGGCGGCGAGGGATCTTAGGGGCTAGCGCGTAGGGTTTAGGGTTTTCTTTTAAAGGGTATCGGACTTTGGGTTTTGGGTTTTGGGTTTAGGGTTTAGGGCGTAGGGTTTAGGGTAGGTTTAGGCTTCAGGCGGTTCAGGGTTTAGGGTTCAGGCTACGAAAAGATTCCTATGAGGATTGCGAGAGGGGTTGGTATAAGGATGACTGCACGGGATGCGGGTGTCTAGAAGGATTACCAGTTTTGTTCAGTCATTGCGAGGTGTAAGGCATGGGCTGCAAGGCGTTTGGGATTTGGGTTCCAGAGTCCCGGAGTTCAGCACTTTAGGATTTGTAGTCTGGCCTTTAGGTGTTGGTTGTTCAGTCCAGGTTTTGGGGAGAGGGTGTAGAGGGCGCAAGGCGTGGGGCTCGGAGTACATGGTTCGGTTGTAGGTATTTGGGCCTGGGGATTGAGCACTCGGGTTTCGGGGCTTCGAGGTAAGCGTTGAATCCCTTTTGCTCTAAGCGGTGGGTAGTCTGTAAGACGGAGTGTAGAAAAGCATCGGTACCACCACTGCTGCTACTACTGTTACCACGACTACCGCTGTTACAAGCCCTACTACCAATAATCATAATAGCACTAATAATGACAATAATGACAATACTTTGTGATAGCAATACTTTTGCGATGGCTGCTACTACTGAAAGAGGAAGACTAGGTGGGGCTTTTAAAGCCTTTGAAAAATAAGATCCTCTTAAGCCCAATAAGAGAAAATATAAAATGTCCCAAAGCCCTACCTAGAAGAAGAAGACCGGTGAATCTCGCAGAGGACCGGCCTCAGGAGCATTGAAGACCAAGGAAGCGGTCAGCGGCAGCCGCATCTTTTGAGCAAACTGCACAAAGGGCTCCTCTGCTGTTTAAAGTTTAGCCAGTCGGCTTCGGGTAATCTAAACAGCGGTTCATAAAGGGGGCTTTAGAAAGACGCTTCTCTAGGGTCTAGGGTTGCGACGTTGGAGGTTGGTTGACGTACAGACTTTTTTGGTCGAGCACCTTCCGGCCGCCGAAGCCATGCAGAACGATAAGGAGGTTTCGCTCCTGGGCCAACTGCTCAAGGCGGAAGGCACAAGAGCAAGACAAACCCTTTCAAGAGATCTGTGCCGTGCCTGGAAAAGATATCGCGGCGACAACATCGAAAGATGCCAGCCAAGACTCTAATCCGGCGCAGTCGCCCGCACCTGACAGAATGCAGGTTTTGGAGCAATGTCTACCTTGTTTGCATCTGTTGGGCTGGAAGCATACCTGCACATATGCGTGTACTCGTACATGTTGCAACTGTGTTCACATGTGTCTAGACACACAGACGTTGGGTATGTGTGCACATACATCTATGCACCGATGTGTACATGCAAAAAAATTGCACATACATGGATGTGTGTATATCTATATACACATACATATACACAAACAGATATACAACTGCATGCATAGTCACGGTCATAGTTGTACTCACGTTTGTACATGTCAGCTATCTCTGCATGCATTCCTTGATTCATGTGCGCACAGGTATGCACATATGTGTATTTATATGTGCGTATGTGTGTATGTATATATATATATATATATATATATATGTGTGTGTGTGTATGTATATGTATGTGTATGTATATACAAATATATATAAATATATACATACATACATACATACACACACATACATACACACACATACATACATACATACATACATACATACATACATACATACATACATACATACATACATGTGTTTATACACATATACATATGTATGTATATACAAGCATAACATATATGCGTGTAAGCACATACATATCTACATCTATGCATAACACCTTTGCATATGTATATAAATGCGTCCCCCACACACACAGACACACTTAAGATCTCTGTGGCATGTGTGTATGAATGCGCATAGACATACATGCATATATGCACACACATACACGTGCATATGGCTACTGATTCTCGACTCTTCAGACCTCACTAGAACCCTCAGAGACCCCTCCAGCTAAAGGCTGCGGCCTTTCTTGCGATTCCTGGATTTGGCAGCAGAAGGCTGGGCCTCACCCAGCAATCAGCCGGAGACAGCTGAGAGTTGAGGGTTTAGGGTTGGTTTGGGGTTCTCCAGAGTTGCTCAAGGATTCAAGGGCCCTACAGCTGGCACAAGGGTTTTGGGTAGGGCTTTAGGGTTTCTCTAGGGTGTCTGAAAGGATTTGAGTAGACACGGGCGGAACGAAAACCTAAGGCTGTGGCCACAGGGCTGCTGCCATGGACATAATGGAAATCTTGAAGACCTGAAGAACGTTCGGAAACCTACAAGGGCTTCATGAGGGGCCAGGAAATCGCAACCACAGCTGCACGATACGTTTTTGGGTAATTGCCGCGTTGACTGCACCATTGTACACAAGGTCACAACCCACGTGACCTAGACCGCTTGCTGCCTCCAGGGAATTTCAGCTTTGGCGGCCTCAGCTTGACCTTGATGCACATGAGTTTGAAACTGACGTTCAGCCTGGTCAAATTTCAACGACATGCGAAACTCAGAAGACCACTCGCCGACATGCGGCAATGCTAACTCGCACTTCCGTCTGAGGCATGTTCTCCCCTGCTTCTGGCGACTTTCTGCACCTCTTGCTCTGCACGGAGCACCTGACTGAATCGAAGGCGAGGTGTTCAGGGCTTGAGCCGTTGATCCGAAGTTTCTGTGCCTCCAGTGCCAGTTGCCCTGCACAAGTGCTCTGACAGAAGCCAATTGTGTGATATCTTCCGGGATCAGCACGGCGGCATTCTGGGCTTCCTTGCCTGAAGCCAGGGCTTTAAGTCGACTTAACGCCACACTTGACAGTCTTGACAGAACTTCTTCCTGCAACTCTCGGTTCGGGACGGATCTTGAGTAGGTCCGCCTGCAGCTGCAGCAGGAGCTGCGCACCTTCTCATTGCAGAAAAAGGATCCGATTATGGGGGTTTTCTGAAACTGAAGTGAAGTCTGAATGAAGATGAGCTCTGAGCTCTGCTCGTCCTCAAGAGCCTGAAGCTGAGACGACGCAAGGCAACAGAGAGCCCATGTGCTCAGAGTAATCCTGAGAAACTCTGGGCTCCGCGACGTCGGACTGACATCGTTGCAGCTGCGACAGAACCTCAAATCACGCGTGCATGTGGAGACACCAGGCAGCACAACAAGGTGGCAACTGGCAAGACTCGAACACCTACACATCGTCGTGAAAACTTGGGTACCGAAACACGGCATGGCACCACTGATGCTTTCTCTCGAGGCTTGCTCGCACAATTTTCGGCGTGTGGCTCAGCGTCTGATGCTGATGCACCAGATCTCCACCAGCATCTTCAAAGTCTAGAGTCGAGAGTATCCAGCGTCGACACGGGTCGCTGCACGGCATGAAGCTAGGGAGGTGCATTGCATAGGAATGCAGACAGTGCCGGCCAATGCTCATCAGGTGAGCTGCCACAGAGCCGTAGGGTACCTGAACTGCTAAGACTGAGGACGAGGATGAGGATGATGATGATGATGATGACGTCGACGCCGGCATTTTTAACGCATGACAATGACGATGACGAAAGTCATTATGATGATGACGATGGAGAAAGTTCAGCAAACTCAGATTACTATACTGCTGCAAAAGCTACATGAGATGAGTGCCAAGGAAGAGCCATGCAATTACAGAAACTGAAAGCTGCAATGCATACCACAAAACTCCAAACACTATGATGTGCAACACTTTGTACACATGTCATGGTAGAGAGTGAGAACTGCGGAACAAACAAGACAAAAGTGCAAAGATAATTGCAGGTAGAGTCGACAATGATAACCGTCACGAAATGGCAGGATATCCTGTGGTGATTCGGGGACATCCAAACACCCCACCAAGTGACTTGCAACCCTGGCCTGGGAAGTCCGCCGCTTCAGGGTGACCCCACACGAAACACCCTCTCCGTTGCCTGATCCAACGATTTCATGATTTCCAACCCGTTGACATCATTCGCCCGACATCATATATACTAGGAACTGAGCACCGCCGTCCAGAAAAGCCCTCCAAACTCCCAACTCCAAGCCCGCCTCCTATTGCTCGCGATCGGGCTTGCGCTCTTTCTTGTAGAGAAGAGTTGAGAGATCGTCGAACTCCGTGGAGGGCGTCCCTTCCTTGAGGTGGGTCAAGATGAGGATTAGATCCGTGCCATGACCTGGGCTGAAAAACTCTGGGGATTTTGTCCCGTTACCTGTACATGTATTATCCAAAGAGGTGCTGGCGCTCTTTTCACCGCTGTCACAGGGGAGTAAGGGTATTCCGTGTTCCTCACTACGATACGTTCTGTCCAGGCACCACTTTACTGCTGTCGGAAAGCCTTCTAACAAGAGGATTTTCAAACCCTAGGTCCCCTAAAATCTGACGCTCATACCCTTAGTCTCCTAAGTCCCAGACCCCCAAATCCATCTAAACCACTACAGCGCTGAAGCACGACACCGAAACAGCCAAAACCCACGCAGACCCAAACGCTAAAGCCCGAGAATCCTAAAAGCCATGAACATCCGAAACCTTGAAAACCAACCGCTTGTAAAAACAAGTCGATTGTGAACGCCGGGGGCCCCAACCAGGCAGCGCTTGCATGAAAACATCCCCTCCGAAGTACTGCGCATGCAGGCCTGAGTATTTCGGGACTTAGGGTTTAAGGATTTCAAGTTCGGGGGCTTAGGGATTTAGGGATGAAGGTGGGCTCTTGGGACATTATGGGTTGTAGGGTTTAGGGGCAGGGTTTAGGGGCTTTATCGGGTCTTGGCCTAAAGGAGTTAGGGCTTTAGGGCTTTAGGGTATGATTAGAGCTTAGGGTATCGGGGTGTTGCTGTCAACGCCATCCTCTACCATTTGACTCCTACTATTGCTAGCAGTCATGCTGGTACAGTATTGGTCATGCCAAGGAGCAAACAGCTACGCACTGGCGACCGGAAACCACCATAGTACGTGAGGAGCATGAAGAGCAGGATCAGCGGATCACGACAAACCGGCCAGAGCAGTAGCAGTGACAGAAATGCCGTTCTTAACGCGAAAAAATCGACGAAACACACCTCCGTGAGAAGGATTGAGCGGAGTGTCGGAATTATGTGCGCGGCGTCTAGATGGTTGTGAGTCTGGGTTGACAACATGTGCTTTGCTGTGGTTTAGAGTTCAGAGCTTGGGGTTTAGAATTCTTTGGTCGTTCACCGGTGGGGCCTCTGGAACGAGATTCGCAAAATTGCGCCAGCCCCGCAGGAGCATTGCTGCTGAGTTCCCGGCGTGTCAGTGGAAGTCCGAAACCATATCCCGCGAGCTCGCTGCGCCTGGGAGACCACGACATCTGACTGCAAGTGTGACATTGATGCTCAGCATGTCTGAGCCTGACGCATGGAGTACTGCTTGAAAAGATGAGGCCCATCGGAATGGCATAGCTGAAACCGTAACAGCAGTAGCAGCATCACCAGCAGCAACCACCCCTGCTGCCCGAATGCCCTTCAAGGGTATCCGAAACATCAGCGCTTCAACCGTAAAACCCACACCACAGCAATATGGCAAGACCGCACCTAGCAGTCAAACTGTTCCGAACCACCTGAACTAACAAGCAAAACGAGCACCAGCAACACTAAAACAACCAGCGCATGGCGCACTTCTCCGCGGGTTCGCTACACCCAGACCCAAAACGCAACATGTGCAATAACTGCGGAATCAAACCGAAACTCTGACTGCAACCCAAGACCCCTAAGAGTCCCTAAGTCCTCAAACCCTGTACAATCCTGTGAAACTTGATTGAAACCCGACGTGAACAGAGCACCAGTTGTATTCTGGAACCTTTACAAATATCATCATTGCATTTTGGCATCCTTAGAAATTGTTGGCGAACCTCTGCAAACTTCTTCTGGAACTCCTATAAACCCTGACAGAACTTCCAGACCGTGCCCCCGGACTCCGGTGCTTTTGAATCCATCCCACGATCCCAGCCTTGGCGACAGCCCGAGCTTCGTACGATTGGTGCTCAGGGTGCTACGGTTTCCTGGAGTTTCTGGGTTGAACGACATCGACGCAACTAACACCGTCATTCACCGCCAAGCGTTGCGGACGTGGTGCAGGGACTCAGCCTCAGGGCATCCTGACTTGGAGTAGCATGCTGCTGCTGTTTCCGAAAACAGTGGCTACCACCCTCGTCAACGGGTTCAGCGGCCTTTAAGCACTTCCACACAGCAACGTCTGGCGGTCTGGACGGGTCCGCAGATTACAGGGCACCAACGAACAGAGCGGATTTCCGTCCGTGCACATCTCACAGCATGGGATCCGTCAGCGGCAGAAGCAACCCGTATGAAGTGCGAGGTTAACACAGCAATAGAAACAATCCGTCACGATCTACCATTGAGGTTGTGTAAAGAAACACACTGCAAGCAGCAGGCGCTGACCAACACGATGATGCCCATGTGCATCGGTAAAGTCTATGCAAGCTTGCTAGGCAGCAGAACGTAGGTAGTGCCCAACATGGGTAACAGGGTTTTGCTAGCTTCATTTAGTTTAGGTGCGGTTTACGGTTTATTCAGGGGTGGAGGTTTAGTATCTCAGGGTCGAACTGAAAGCTAAAGCCTTGACAAAATAGGTAATTTGATCCACCGGAAGGGTAAAAGGTTCTGCAGACTTGTTTGGGGGTTGGTTGGGTCAAGGGTCTATCATTTTTCAGCATATCTAACTTCGCATTCCTCAGTCCCACGAAACACTCCCCGAAAAAGGGGCTCCTGATTTGGACTTCATGCTAACATTCAGCAGCTGCGACTTCTGGGCCTTTCGGATTCTTTGTTACAGGTTTCGGGGTTTAGGGCTTTATTGGTTTAAGGGGCTTTAGGGGTGTTGAGGTTCAGGGTTTAGGGTGTAGGGATGCAGGCGAGCAGCTGCATGACTCCTCCGCATATTGGAAGGCTTCAGGGCTCTTCTTGTTCGCATCCACCGTTGTCCAACCATATTTCCAAGCCTGCCATAGAAAATTTTGTCAAGCTTTGCTGTGGCAACTCTGCTCACGGTCACTCTTACTGATGTGCCCGCTTTGAGGTGGTGAACGTTCTTCACATAACCTGACGGAACTGCGAAGAAGAACGGATGCGATGCTTATGATACCGATAGCCGCTGGTTTCGTAATAACTATAATGAATGTGATGATGATTTGTCGCATACTTAAAAGGACGATTTCTGCATGCTATTGGCCTCCATCAACCTTAGGGTCGGTTTCACTTTCGGCAGGTGTACTTAATTGCTGGCGCTGACTGTTCAGTCTGATTTTGATTCGCATTGCTACTTCTGTTGCTACGACCAGACTCCACGACCAGACTCCTACGGGTGTGTGTATCACAAGACAGGAACAGTCTCGTGGTAACCTGTGCCTCCAATCGGACTGGGGTTGACATTGCCACTCTGGTGGCTTACACTTCGTGTTAGTCTTTGTTTCTGCCGCGACTAGACGCCGAACTGCAAGGGAGACTCTCATGTTGGTCTAGTCCAGTAGTACTAGCAGTACTAGAAGGACTCGTAGCACTGTTCTCGTAACGGCGGCGAGGCTGACGGTCGAATGTGTTGGTCATGATGAAATTTGCTCTGTATCAACTGCTAACATGACCAACCAAACTGGTCGGTCCCCATTTGCCTCGCGCTGCAGACTCTTGGGCATGCCACCGCCCTGGTCCGAGATCTTAAAGATCACGTGAATGTCCTCGGCGGCTCGCAACTGCTGGAGGCTTGAGTTGACCGCTGTACGATTGAGAACTCACAGACACTTGGCATCCCTTTGAGGTTACTGGCAAAGCTCAACCCTCGCTCCGGGAGGGTACTGCAAGCACAAGGGGCACCTAAGCAGTAAACAATCCACATACTTTTCCTGTGGAGAGACGTTGATTACATTCATGACCGCGATAAACAAAACTTGAAGCCAAAACTTGTTACTTATGGCTGATCTTCTGCAGAACGCTTTGAGCCCTGGAAAGCATAAGACCTGACTGCTGCTGCGATCAGGAGCGATGTCCCTGCCGAATGCGGCAGAAGAGCCCCTTGCTGCAATTCCACAGCAACGTGTGGCAATTTGTCGGACATGGTACTCCTGGCAAGGCATCGGGTATAAACATTACACCTTTGTCTATTTATGTGTGCATTTGTTTACATACGTACACACATACCCATGCATGATATATACAGGTATATGTAGCTATAAGTGTACATGTACACATATACATAGACCGTGACATGGTAATGGATATGGACATTGACACAGACACAGATGTATATACCTTTACATACAGACACACGCCTGCACATGCATGTTTTATACATATACATGTGCACACGCAGACACGTATACAGTTATATATGCATAGGCATATGACACATATGCATATGCATATAATAAGAATATGCGTATACATATACACATACGATTACAGTAGGTATACGTACACATGCGTGTACACGCAAAGGCACACGCACACATGCACACTGCGACGCTTTCTGTGCATACACATACATATACATCTACATATACATATACATGTACCTACAATATATGTGCGTTATATTGTTTATAATAACCACAACAACAAATAATGATTGCTTCTAACCCTCCAACTTTACAATTTAGTGCTTACTACAAACAGTGCAAAAGCTATATGAATACAATAAAGCTTACGGGCCAATTGCGACGCGATGCTGTCAACCCAACACCACGAGACTGCTACGCTTTTGACAACAAGGACGCGGCCTCGCCAAATGCCGTTCGACTGTGGATCTGAAAGCATTCTTCAGCAGCTCCCTGTCCGGGGGGGATCTTTTGGGCTGTTGGAGTTTCGGGCCAGGAACTTGGGGGTTCGGGGCTGGGGGGTGGGGGGGGTCAAGGGCGTCTGGAAGCTTGGACTTGACAAATCGCACGCTTTAGGGTTGGGGGTCTTTTTTTTTTAAGTGCAATGGAGGGTTGTGGGTTTCGGGCTGAGGGTTTACTCCAGTTTCTTCAGGGTTTCCCGAGCCTGAAAAGGCTTAACCCCCAGAGCCGGGGGAGCGGCCTGACCATGTACTTCACATGCCTGGGGATGTAGTCAAGGATGCAATCCGGATTGCCACCTTGCGGTTTTAGGGGGTTGGGGGTTTTTAGGGTTTTGGGTTCGGGTTCAGGCATGTCAAGGTGGACCCAAAGACTGTCAACTTACCTTTGGTTACTAGGGAATGGAGGAATGGGGTACAACTATGACTACTATTACTACCATTCTTCCATTCCCTTCTAACCAAAGGTAAGTCAAAGGATTTGGGATGTCTCGCATTTGGAGTGCGGGGTCAATCTGGCACTAAGGGTCCTATCCTAGCTCTCGGGCCCGGTAACGCTTCAGAACTGAAGAGGCGAAACCGGCGAAACCTGAAACGTGTAATGTAGGGGGCCTTAATAATTAGAACAGGGTTTTGGGACCCACTGTACCATCATTACAATAAGGAACCACCAAAATCGTATTGGTAATTATTTGGACCTCTATAATAAGCTCATGCTGTACACCTGCACACCCCAGTACGACAGTGAACTTGCAAAATGCCTTTCAACCGCTTCCACCCATCCCAATCGGAATATAATGGTGACAACAGAAAAGTCAGTAGTCAATAGCAACAAAACAGCAGCAACTGCCTTCATCATTCACAACAAGATTGGCAATCTTGTGTCTGACTTGCGATTGGTGCTTTGGTCCTGTTTGAAACTAGTCGTGATGATGTAATCTTAGAGCAGGAATCCCTGAAATCTGGCCCAAGCCCTAGACCTAAACCTGAACCCGCAACCCAAGACCAATCAAACCCTAAAACCGATACTTGGAGGATCATGGGACTTAGTAAGTAAGGTTGTAGGTACCTTAATTGGGGTTATAAGTATAGTTACCCTAATTATAACCCTAGTTACTAAGTCCATGATCCTTCAAGTAACCTTAAGACTACTAGCATCAGCGGTACCCTTCACCGACCCTAAGCCGAAGACTGCTCAAAGGGTTCGCGGCACCCGTCGACCCGAACCGAAGCACCAGTCATGGTATCCATAGAACTCTAAACCTGAATGAAGACTACTCGTACTACACGGAAAGAACCCTCGTAGAATCCTGTTTTGCCTGCTGCAGGACCATTCGAAACCCTTTTCGGTTTACAAAATAGCTGAAAAGAGCCTAAAACCATGCTACCAGTCAAAACCAAACGGCCCTAGTTCTAAGCTTGCGGCGATATTCGACCTCGGGGGCGCAACCGTAGAGGGACGTGGTGAGCACAGTGAGCTCGCCTGTCGTAGTACATGGTTGATCTGTTTCGTCCAGATGCTATTTCTGAAAACCAGAAACAAGTGACCTCAACATAGCCCCTAAATGGTCGGATCTGAACTGTGAGGCTACCCTAAACCCTAAACCCTAAAACCCTAAACCCTAAACCCTAAACCCTGAAACCCTAAAACCCTAAACCCTAAACCCTAAACCCTAAAACCCTAAAACCCTAAACCCCTAAACCCTAAACCCAAAATCCGAAACCCTAAACCCCCAACCCTCCAAACTGCAAACGCCGGATCATGCCTGCGATCTCCTGAACGATCTTCAGCGGCCGCATGTTTTGCCGAACCACTCCGATGTGCTCTTCTCTTGGGACACGCCTCAGAGCCCAAGAGATAAGCAAGAACTACTGAGTACTGGGCGCCTTTCGGCAACCACCTGCCTCATTCTAACTGCTTACTGGTATAGGATTTGGAGAGTAAATTGTACTATAATTACAACAAGGAACCTGAAACCCTATTCTAATCATTAAGAACCTTTCATCACCCCGTCCCTATCCTTGAGACCTCACCTGAAAAGCACATCGCAGAATCTTCAAACTCCCGGGCAAGATCATCAACACCGCGTGGGCCAGGCAGCATCTCCATGTAGTTGTCCATCAAGATTCTCGTAGCGATCCGGGTCGTAAAGTGGTCCTGGGCTCTTGCAGAGGACCCGTGCACCCTCACAACAAGTCCGGAATTACAGCTAAACCCCAAAACCTACATCCTACAACACTTTATGGACACCAAAACCACGTCCCTTAACGATAACTAAACCCAAACTTCCCCTACTGAAACAACGAACCCTAAGCCCCTTAACAAGAGCCCAAGCATCGTGCAGGAACGCATCCAGGTGGATCGAGGGATACAAGCGACGCCTTGGTTTCAAGAGTAGGACAGACTCAGGGTTCACTTTAAGGGGCTTAGGGTCTTTTTTAAAAAAAGCTGAGGGTCTTTTCGGGTCCAGGGTTTAAGCGTCTCGGGTGACTCAACCCGGTTACTTTGGCTGTGTTTGGTGGAGGGATTATAGGGCTCTACGGCTTGAGTCTGTAGTCTCTGAGGGTTTTAGGAGTGGTGTCGTCTCATGTGTTTGTTTTAGCGCCTGGGTCTCCGACGCTTCAGGCTGCTCGCGAGATCTGAGGGTTCTGTAGGATGTCTGGGGTTTAGGGTTTGGGGTTTTGTTGTTTAGGGTTTAGCGTAGGGTGTTTAGAAGGCTCTATTCAAGTTTTGCAATAAGGTTAAGAGTCAGCGGGCTCAGGAGCAGGGTTGTCCTAAGGTCACTTTACTTACAACTCCGCACAAACCTCATTCGGGCACTAACTTATTCAGCCCCCTGCTCCTGTGAGTATAACACATTTGGGAGTTTCCGAGAATAGGGGACCCTAATAGGGTACCCCAAATAGTAGGATCCTTATTATAAGTACCCCAAGATAAGGTACCCCCAATTTTCGGAAACTCCCATTTGCACTGCCAACCGTATGATTAAGGCCGCCACACTTCACGGTAGCCCTCCGCAATCAAGCGGGTTCCGGGATTGTGCTTTACCTTGGGCACACTAAACTCACACCAGAAACCCATTATGTGCCAACAAGGTGGGAGAAATCTTGCAGGAGTGCCAGTTGCTCGCGAATGACTTGCAGAAATGCCATCTCGTTTTCCTGCGAAGCTCGGTGCGGACACAACACTGACCCTCACGGGTGCGACGTGCATATTGATCTTCATGCACATTCTTCGGACTCACATCCGGATGGACTCGAACAATAGTATTCACTACCTCTGCCAATAATTGCTGAGTGAGATTTGAGACATCAGGGAAGCAAGACCTAAGATGCCATACAAAGTTGTTCTTTGATGTCTTTGTTCTTGTTTGTTAGCATTCCCTGGCTTGTATAACTAAGCATTGCAAGGTTTTGAAGCCGAGTGGCATCCAGTAAGACACCCATGCACGGCATTTGTCTTTGCAGTTTTGCCGCCGCGACAATCAATTTCATGGAAGGTCTTGCTTCTGCCGAATCAATCCAGGCATCTGTTCTTATACATATTCCCACTCCAATGTCCTCCGGCTCCAGTCACACTGCTACTGCTACTGCTTACGATTGCTGCTGCTGCTGCTGCTCCTCCTCCTCCGCCTCCTCCTGCTGCGGCTGCTGCTCCTCCTCCTACTACTACTGCTGCTCTCACTGCCACTACCACTACCACTCCCAATGCCACTGCCACTGCCACTACTACTGCGAATGCGACCGCGACTGCGACTACTACTAAGACGACGACTACTACTATTGCTACTGCTCTTGCTCCTGCTCCTGCTAGCTACTTCGACGGCGACTGCGGCTGCTACTGCTACTGCTATTGCCCCTGCCCCCGCCACTGCCACTGCCACTCCTACAACTACTGCTACTACCACCACCACCACCACTTCTTGTCTTCGCAACAATGGCAACGGCTGCATAACATGTAACCATAATCTGCTGATTAAGCAGTAACACGACCTTTCCAAATGAGTCTCCTGCGTCCGAATCGGAGGAAAAGAGTGTATGGCTTCGAACGTCTCCAGGTAAGTCGAGAGGATGCTGTTGATCTGGGGATTGATGACCACCACATGAGGTAGCTGCAGGATGTCCTTTCCCCAGTACGGAACGAAGCATGATGCCAATGACCCGGGTTTTACGCATGTTTCCAACTGCAAGATAACCCAAGTTCCACACAGGCACTTGCCACATGAGAAGCTGTTTTGCAAAGAAGTGGTCTCAAAAGACACAACAATCAAAAAGCAGGGCTTCGCTGCACTTGCCTGACACGAGCCATCTAAACGCACTTGTCGAGATTATCTGGATGATGCGGCTGTCCTCAATACGCCTGGCAAAGCGAATCGGCAGCTGATCGTGCAGCCATTGCCTCGGCTACCACGTTGATGATCGTGATCACCATCATCATCATCACGATTATGTTCGTAATCATGAACCAGGCTGGTGCAAATAGTCTGGCCAGACATACATCACATCATCGCGCAACTCCAAGCACGAACGAAACTGCTACCAATATCCAGAGAAAGCCTAGTGCCAGAACTGCTTGCAGTGCCAGTTAGCAGAGACAGAGAACATCAATCCGACTACCATCGGCAAGTAACACTGCTGTTTAGCACTAACACAACAGTAAATAATCGCAACATGTCCTGACACAACAGAGGCAGCGCAGCAATCGCGACAGTAGCCTCAAGAGCCACAAAGAGCGTGAACCGGAGCCAATCAACGAAATTTAGGCATTGCATGCCCCAAACAAACCAGAGGATCAGCATCATAGGGCCTGAATAACTAGAAAAAGGTTTGGGCGCATGTTCTGCTATAGTTTTGGGCTATTAGGGAACACCATCACTATGTGTTCAGACAATTGCATTTCTCCCTGGAGCAAACCAACACCTTGGTTCCCTCTGAGTCGCGCAGTTCGAATGCAGGATTCTGGGTCAGGTCTGGTAGTCTTCATCAACCTGAGTCGAAGCACTGCTTACATCAGTTTCCACGACGCCTTCTTGTTTCGAATGCAAGCATGTAAAGGGAACTCCAGAAAGTTGGAATATGGATTAATGGTAGGATCCCCTATAATTTACCTTAAAGGGGATTTGATAATGATATTCCAACTTTCTGGCTTCTACTGTAATGTCTAGAGGCATCGGCTTGGAAGCTTCGGGTCTGGAGGCGCTACTTCTAGCGGCTTGGGTTTTAGGATTCTTCTTGGCCCGGGTGTTATTGAAATTCGATTGAGAACCCACACTCACTGCTTTAAGCGAGCTTGCAGGCATATTCCTCAATTTCCATTCCTGGCGCGCGTCGTTCGAGCCACTGAGGCGAGGGCTGTGACAAAGTCAGGCTGACGCACTCGGCTCGTGCCGCTCGCTTGATGCTCAAGATGTTCCTGGTCGAGAACAGATCGCAACAGCAACAGGCAGACATGAGATTGACAAAGTGTTCAGGCTAAATAACTGTGATTATGAGGACCTAAACCACAACGACGAATACCCGCAAGTCTACAACGGGATGGCGGAGGAGAACTCAGAACACAGCGTTTCTCATCACGGCAAGTAGATCTTCAGGAATGACTGTCACTCTTTCTCGCTCGTTGCCACTGACTTCGTTTTGCATGGTTGTTGTTCTCCGCCGGGTCGCCGTGGCAGGCTTGCCCAACACCTTCGCGGCATGAGAAGTACGAGCTGAACATGTTCAGTGGCAGAATGCGGGCCTTGGGTTTGGTCTTCAGGTTGATGCTACATCCCGGTTGCCGTACTGTTTCAAAGGACTATCGCCTGGGCAAGGTGTTTCGATCGTTGTAATCGATGTCCCGGTCATGCTACTAGAATGCCCCGTGCTACGTTTCTCCAACGACTGCGACAGCGACTGCCACCACCACCACCACTGCCACGAGCACCGCAGCGACGACGATCGACTGCGATACTGCCACAAGTGGTGGTGGTGGTGGTGGTGGTGGTGGTGGTGGTGGTGGTGGTGGTGGTGGTGGTGGTGGTGGTGGTGGTGGTGGTGGTGCTGGTGGTGGTGGTGGTGGTGGTGGTGGTGGTGGTGGTGGTGGTGGTGGTGGTGGTGGTGGTGGCTGCTGCTGCTGCTGCTGTCGCAGTACAGTAGCAGTATGGATGAGTGCACCACTCAGTATCGGCTGCGAGGACTCGCCAGCTTGACAACATGTTGCGAGCCAGCGATGGAGACAGCCGGTACATGCCTGTAAAGTAGCATGATATAACATTATACAAGATAACATGAAATTATAGAAAAAATTACGATGATATACAATACTATCCTGTACTATACTATGATGTACTCGACTTTACTATACTATCATATGATGTGGCATCGTACGATAACAAAACATAACGCAACCTAACATGGTCTATATAACACAGAAAGTAATATGTATATATATATATAGAGAGAGAGAGATATATATATATATATATATATATATATACATATTTATATACATATACTGATTAAAGACAATACTCAGGCCGTGGCATTCTGCTTCAGGTTCAATGAGCTGCGCATGGCAGCCCCGGCGGGAAGTCGAATGGCCGATGCCATCAAGGGTTCTTAAGGGTTACTATAAGGGACTGCTAGCAGGGTTGGATATTTTTAAGGGTTACTATCATACAGGACTGCTATTTCTAGCAGAACTGTGAATAGAAGAGTTACAAAAAGGCATAACTATCAGGGTTCACGCTTGAGGGCGCATGGACTTAAGCTCCTGCTTGCAGGCTTTGGGATTGAGATCTTCGACTATAGGCTCTCGAGCTTTGCTGCTGAAGGGACAATACGGTAGCGCTGATGGCTTGCAAGGACTTATGTGAGTATGCACAACCACACACAGGGTATATGTGCGTATATTATATTATACATAAATATACCGCTATTTACATATGCGGCGGTTTGGCTTCGGATAATGATAGACCACTCCTCAAGTTTGTGGCGCTTTGGAGCTTTGTCCAAAAACTCGACTGCGGCAGAGATGCCGGAAAATGCTCGATGAGAACAGTCGCAGAAAGAGTGCATGTGTGAGGGTTCAGAGTTTATTTATTTGATTGAAAGCGAGGAGTCGTGAGCCAAGCGGAAATTCGTCATGATTACCCGAAAAAGCCCACCAAGGATGCGACAGTGTTATGTGAATCTTGCCGGCCGGTGGCGACGCCCTGCAGCCCTGAACCCGATACATGTTGCCTCACTGGAATGCACACATGCGCAGTGCTACCTCGGGCTCAGGGTGTGAGTGAGCAGGCCCAACAATACAGTAGCAAGTGGGTCTAGGAAAAACTTCTGAAAAATCGCAAGGACTTCGAGTGTCAAAACCCTCTGCAGAGTGATCGTGACAACCTCCAGCAACCTGGGCACCAGGCACGTGCCGCTGTCTCTTCATCTGCTACGGGCTTCTCGGATGGTCGCATCCTGGAATCAAGACATGCCGGTTCACTGTTTATCTAGATTCTGGGGTGTCATGTTGCCGTTGTGATCGTCCAACGGGGTCCTCTACTGCTGATGATCCCTGTAGAAACGAATACATTTTCTTGTGCTATTCATTGTTGCAGGTGGTGTTGGTCGCTGCGGATAGTTTTGCTATGCTTGCGAACGACATCATAGTGAAGCTCCGCACGCCCATCGTTGTGGCCATCATCATCACCGTCCTTCTACTTCTTCCGCCGCTGCCTCCCCCGTCTACATGCACCACCACGACCACCACCACCACCGCTGCCGCAGCTGCTGTGCGGGACGAGGACGGAGACGAAAACGCTCTTCTGACTGATGCACGATTGCCACTACTTGCGGTAGCGTGTTCACGCAGTGTGCTAATAATCGTTCTACAAATACTCTTGCTCATACTCCCACGACTGCAACTATTTACTTTCTGTCACTTCCGACTACCAAGACATAGCTGGATGCGTTCATGCTTTCCTTTTCGACGTCGGGACTGCAGCGATGCGGTGTTCCGACCCCTCCGACGCTGAACAGCCAGTTCTGGCCGGTTCCCCGATGAGACATCCCATGACCCTAATATGGGGGCCTTAACAATTAGCATAGGGTTCCTTTTAAGGGGCCTATAAGGGTTACTGTAAGGGATCCAGAAGGGCACTATAATATAGGAGGCTTAGTAGTTAGAAGAGGGTTTTGGAGTATATTAACTGTAATTATAACAAGACACCCCCGCATTGGCGCATGGGCATGTCGATGTGAGTCCTGAAACAACTGCAAAGGGCCCAGATACTGTCAAAAGCAACGAAACCTGCGGTGCTGAGAACATGAGGACAAAAAGCGCTGTCTCGAACTCCCCGTCTGGGCCCTTCGTCTAGAGCTTTCTTCAAAAGTCAAGAATGAGCTTAGCACCATCCTTGAGTGCTTCTAAGATTGTGAAGAAAACACATGATTCGGCTCCGATCTGGAGAGCCCTCGCGGCTCCCCCCTGGAAGAAGCCCGCAAAACCCTCCGAGTCGTAAATGGACTGTGCGGCTCGGCCGGAGGCTTCAAGAATATTCCTTAGCTAGCCGCCCTTAGAACCAGAAGTAAAAGTAGTAGTAGTCTTATCAAGCCCCTCAAAGTTTTACTACAGCAAAACTAAAGCATAACTCCGAAGAGCAGTAAAGCTTCTCATCCTGGGACTCCGATGACTCAGGCTGTTCCTTGGCAAGGAGTACGGACAGGATGAGGTCCGGTGGATTAGTCAGCAGCCCGGTAAGAGCTCCCGAAGCAGCACCCCAGATCACTGGCTGGAGGCTCAGCGGTATGCCAAATGGGACCAACTCGACATTTTCGTGAAGGAAATCATAGAGGGAGTACTGCAAAGCGCCAAAAGGTAGCCCGCGCAAGACGACGAGGCTCCAACTTCTCATCAGCTTCTCTTTGATGCCCTCGGTATCTGCTAAGAGACCCGCCACGGCCGCCTCCTCCGTCTTGTAGACCCCGGTCTGCAGCTGGCGGCTCAAGAGTTCAAAGGGAGCCCTGAGGAAGGTCCCTGGGAAGTAGGCCAAGGCCCCTGCAGGGATCATCACTAGCAGCTTCAGGTCTGCATTGTTCGCATCCACAAAGGGTAGGAGACAGAAGAAGCGGGTGATGCTGTTGAAGCCCGAGATGTAGAGGCTCTTTGCCGGCACCTCCCTCACAAGAGTGCTTAACAAGCCACTGTACAAGTCTGAAAGAACCACTGTCGCATCCCCCTTTGGAAGAGCTGCCTGCCCGGCCTGGAGCCGCGCCTTGATCGTCTCCAGAGGGTAGGTGATGCAACAGGTGAAAAAGGTCGCAACACCGGCCAGAACCAGGTCCAGAATACGATTCTGTTCGTTCGTCCGGGTCAGAGCTATCCACGTCTGCGGAAATGACTTAACTTCCCGCACACCCTTCATCTGCGAGCCGCCCAGAAGTGGATTAGGTTCTAGTTTCACCGTGGCAGTGAGCCCATCATACAACCATATCACACGACCCATCTTGCCCTTGTCTGGGCCTCGAATGACCAGCACTTCGTCCCGAATGGCCGGCTTCTGTACGGCAATAGGTGTGTACACCAGCTGAGAGTCTGCAACATCCTTGTACAGAACCTCTGTGCTAGTCAGAGGGTCGTAGCCTTCGTACAAGTTTGCAGCCTTCAAGTAGTGGTCATAAGCGACAGACAGCTCAGCAAATGCCTTCTCCGTCCCTCGAATGTTCTTTGCCTTGACGCATGCATCAAAATCATCGAGGGCCCTCGAGAAACGAAATAGCTCAAAACGCAGCGATTTGCAGAGGAGCTCCTGCTGCGGAGTGGGATGCGGATAGGTAGCATTGATGTAAAAGTCTAGGAGCGGGTAGTAAGCCCGAAAGATGAGGACATCTGAGGATAGGCTTTGCCAGAATTCGGTATAGATGTCCTCCTGAGTGACGTCTAGGATACTGCTGATGTTACGGATTCGCGCCGCGACGGAGGGCGGCCCCGAGGCCGGCTTTTGGGCCACCAAGGCCCGAATCCGGTCGGCGACTTTCGAATACCAAGCCGCATAGGTGACTTGCTCACTTGAGGGTAACGAGGAGCTGAAGGACAGATACATTGAGATGCCAAAGGACAGGAGCAAGGCCACCAGAGAGCTTGCGAGCACTAGACGTGTAGCATTCCAGGCATGGTGATGATGATCATCTGCCTCTTGCGTCTCCTCAAGAGACATCGCGCCGTGCACTTGCACCTCGTCCTGCCAGGGGCCACCATAGGCACGCGTCACGGCGCTGGGCGCACGGCTGGGTAAGGTGCATGGCGTGAACAGCAGATTTCTGCGATCTCTGCCAAGTCTATGCAAGCCAGCCATGAGCACCAGCGCTAATGCAACTCTGCTGGAAGCACTGCGAGATCGCATGATGCAGGGGTGTTGCCATCCATTTCGAGGCGACATGCAGCCTTTGGGTCGGCTGTCGCGACCCAGGCATAATTATGACTGAAACTTTCAAATGGCTGCAGATTCGACAACTGTGCAGCCAGACAGCTCTTTCACAAGCACAGCACGCCGGCAGCTAACCCGGAAACGCAGCCGACATCGCTTCGGTGGCCTTTCCCCTCTTACTTCGGTCGCGTGATCAAGCTCTATAGTTGAAACGGATGACGTTCATAGGAGAGGCTCTGTTCTCAGGAAACTGGTGAGAACATTGCCGGTAGATCCTCTCCTGAAACAACTTGTCCATCGGATCCCACAAAAGAGTAAGCTTTCGTAAGCTCCTGTATCTGCGAGACTCCGAAAAAGGTTTCAAACGGACTGACGACCCTCCCTGGTCACAGCCGTCTGGGAACAAGCCGCAGTGGCCGTGCGGCTCGGGCGGCCAAAATGAAAAGCACTGCCAGGGAGGCCCCCACCAACTCCTTGGGTAAGGAAGACATCCGTTCTTTATGGCCTCCCTTAGCAAAGATGGCCTAAACCGCAACCACAACAAAAGGAAACATCAAACAAAAAAGAAACCCTAAACTCTCAAAGACAGAAACCTCGCAGAGTCGAACCTTTAGACCACTTGTAGAACCCCACAGCCCTAACGTGTAATATGGGGGCCGTTATACTTAGAATAGGGTTTTGGGGCCCATTATACTATCACTATAATGAGGAACCCCCAAAATAGTATAGGTAATTATTCTATAGTAGCCAAGGCACCAGGAGGCCCCCTTGGCTCGCTGAGGACGTCGGCCGTGAAGCAACGGGGCCAAGCGAACCTGGAGCCTCCGTTCCAAGGATATTTGGAGGGACCCTTAGTGAGGACCCCTACTTGGAGGATCATGGGACTTAGTAAGTAAGGTCATAAGTACACTAATTGGGATTCTAAGTATAGTTACCAGAAATTATAACCCTGATTACTAAGTCCCATGACCCTTCAAGTAGGTCCTGTAACCTGAATATAGCTATTGTATACCCAGTATATAGCCCGTTATAGGGCAGGGATCACCATTAAGGGTCGCTCCTTTTTGCCCTTTTGATCCGTGCTGCAGGGCCCCCTGTTTCATATAAGGGTCCTACAGCGCTCCCTTAAGGCTGTAAAGTTTCCATTTTAAGTTCTACACGGGCTCTATAAAGTTCTATTAAGGTTCTATAGGGGCTCTATAAAGTTCTACTAAGGTTCTATAGGGGTTCAGGGTTGTATACAGTGTGCTTTCAGGGCTTGTCAAGTTGAGGGTGTGACCGGGCCCTAGCCAACGCCAAAACCTTTACAGCAGAAGCCAAAAAGTTGGAAACCCAATAGCCTCAATCCTAAAGAGTCATGTACAAGGAGTCCCAGCACTATTTGGCCTTAATCCGGTTTCCAACTTTATGGTGTTTACTGTATTCTGAAACCCTGCTCATGTGAGCACCCCCCGACCCCCGCCTCGAAGAGCCCAAATTTGGAAACCGAAGCTTAAAAGAAAATGTCCACATGCCCTTACAAACCTCAAAGCACCAAAGCAAAACCCAAAACCCGAAAAACTCACAAAACCCCACAACCTAAGAACAGAATCAAACCCTGAATCTGTCATAGTAAGAAACCCTTATATTAAAGGAGCCTGCCATATAGTAACCCTCATAGCCCTAAACCCTGAACCCCGACACCCTAACTCCTCGAGCATAAGTCAAAATCCTAAACCCTAAACCCTAAGCCGTAAGCTCTAAACGCCCTAAACCCTAAGCCTTAAGCCCTAAACGCCACCTGGAAAGACACGAACGCCGAGCCCAGGGAAGTGGGCGGAAGCTGTGCCAACCGCACGGAGGCGCCTCTTCCTTCACCCAGCAAAAGTGCTTCTTGGGGTTTAGGGTTTAGGAGTATCAGGATTTTACAGTGGCTTTACGGGGCTGCATAATGGTGATATAGTGCTATAGGGTTTTAGAAGGGTTTTAACGTCTTGAGGCGTACTTAGAGGATCAGGGGACTTAGCGGGTTCACCAGGCTTTCATAGCGGGCTATAAGATTTAGTGTCTAATTAGAGGATCATCGTACTAAGCAAGGTTACAGGCAGCCTACAAGTGAAGTCACGCAAACCGTCAAGTAATCCCCCAAACGTAACCCCCTAAACCAATAAGCCACCCAAGGTTCCCAAAGCAACCCTCAAAAACCCCGAACCCTCAAACCCTCAAAGCCTAAACCGATATTGCAACCGTTACAGAAACCACCAAAAAAATCCCAAGCGTAAAAAGCCCAACCCTAAAACCCTAAACCGCTACAGAAAACCCCCCAAAAAAAACTCCCTAACTTTAACAAGCCCAAACTCTGCTATGTGCAGCCCTGGCTTCGAAGGGATGCGCGAGGCAGGGCAGGCCTCACTCTGCCTGCAAAGGCCTGGGAGGAGTGTTTCCGAAAATGGGGGACCCTAATACAGTACCCTAAAATAGTAGGATCCTAACTATAAGGACCCCCGAAATAAGGTACCCCCAATTTTTAAAATTGTGTTTGAGCATGTCGGGTTTAGTTGGGCTGTTGGTAAACTCAAGCCGTTGAGGATTTGAAGCTTAGGATCTCAGAGTATTTTGACGTTTCGTCTTTCAAAGCATGGGTGAGGAAAGCTGGGTTTAGGCTCTGCAGGATTTATGGGCTTCGGGGGTTCCAATGCGTTTGGGGTTTAAGGGATCTTTTGGCTTGGCTGTTATGGGCTTAGTGGATCAAGGGTTTTGCGATTTCAGGATGCTTCGAATTCTGGTTTCTAGGGCGATGCCTCGTTCTTCAACATGACTAAGGAGCGTTTAGGGTTTAGGGTGTAGGGCTTAGACATGATCAAAGGAAGTTGAGTTGTCCAGCGCTTTCGCCGGGGTTCCGTGTTTTTCAGATTTCGGGTCCGAGGGCTCCGGGCTATGCGGGCCCTGAGGTTGCAGTCCAAGACGCCGACTAACCTTGCAAGCCCCAAAGCCGTGTACCCTAAACCAAAATCACAGCCCGAATCCCAAGCTTGCTACAGGTCCACTTGGAGGATCATGGGACGTAGTAAGAAAAGGTTTTGAGTACCTTACTTGGGGTTGTAAGTATAGTTACCCTAGTTATAGCCCTAGTTACTAAGTCCCATGCTCCTTTAAGCAGGGGCTTAATCAGAACTGGGGCTAGGGACCTTCAAAAGTTAGACCAGAGAGCAATCATTTTCTCGCAGATGCAGCAGTCTATGAGTCTATGATGGAAAGATGCAAAAAGAATTGGGGGTTTCCGAAACAATAGGGGTACCTTATTTTGGGGTCCTTATAATAAGGATCCTACTACTACTATTGAGGGTACTGTATTAGGGTCGCCCAATTTTCGGAAACTCCCATTTGTGTTCCCATCTCGCACCAGCGAGTGATCCTGCGGGCACGTGCTGTCAACATTTATTGGGAGGCCCTCTCGCTTGAGAATGATTAGAGTGATTCGGATTCATATAGGGGCCCGAATGGTTAGAATAGGGCTTTGGGGCCCATGATACTATAACTATGATAGGCAACCCCCAAAAATAGTGTAGGTAATTGTTCAGGCCCCTATAGTATCTATAATCTCTAAATCTCTGCAAGCTCGAATTGAAGCTGGCCCAGGTTGGCTTTGCCAAGCCCAGACAACGCGTAATGTCATGGTAAGAGGGGTCCCCCCCTGGTAATATAGGGGCCTTGGCAGTTAGTATAGCGTTTTGGGATACATTATTACTACAACTATAATAAGGAGCCCCCAAAACAGTATAGGTAATTATTGCGGCCCCTATATTAACGGTATCAATGCTCAAGTCTGCAACAAATACAAAGAGACGTTTCTGCAGCTGGAACATGGCTTCGCTGCAGCACTCGATCGATGACAGCAACCAAAGCTCATGCTCTGAACAAAGTGCAGCAAGTCACTTCAAGAAAGCCATCAACTGCTCTTGGTAGCAACTCGTGCCGGTTTCCCTGACGGATTGTGGTGAGTCACGGACCAAGAGAGAGCCAGCCACTTTCCGCGCACTTGACACGGTCATCAGTTTGAAGCTTCGGCATGCCCGTCTCCATCGAGAGTTCCGCAAAGCGAATCTCCCGGCGCCTTTCCACCCTCTGCTCAAATGCATGTGGATTTCTGGCCACATTGATGAGGAACATGTTGAGCTCTCTTACGTAGAGCTGGTGCGTGGCCTGATCTGGCGGAAAGTTCTGCGGAGGCTTCGGAAATGACTGCGGCACTCGCACCGTTGATGTGCCACAGCTGTTCTTGACCGTACAAGTGCTTGCACCGCACCCCATGGCTTGGGCCACTGCGAAGAGCACCGGCAACTATACTCCGTGCCTGGAGACGGCTGCGCAAGAGAAGTCTGGGATGACATCGGCAAGTTCGCACCGGATGCATCCCAACTTGTCGGCAATTTGTGGTTCCTTTGAATCTCGTTTACATTCCTGGGATTACAAAGTGCTGCAAAGTCGGCAACTCAAAAGCCCTGAATCTCCCTGGCCCCTGCCCCGCAGAAACCATTCGGCTCCCTTCAGCACCTCGAGGCCTTACTTCCAAACCTGACATATACAAACATTAACCAAGATATGATATTCCAAAATTTAAGCGAAATTATTGCATTCTGGTGCCGCTCGGGCGAACAGCTTGGTGCACGAGAAGTAAGACGCAACCGACACAAACGCTGCAAACCCTGCGCAAACAAACCCAAAACCAGGAACGTCCAGCAATAACAGAAATCCATACTCTCCTCAGAAAGCCTTGCAACACTACTGACATTCGTGAACCCTACACCCTAAACCCCCAAACCCTCACCCTACCTCAACCTGCCTCAACCTACACCTCGGCTTCTTCTCTTCCAAGCGGCTTTGCTTCTCCGCGGCTGCGGCTTTTTAGCCGAGGCTGCGGCTGCCGGCGGCGCCGCCGTGGCTTCGGAGGGCAGCTCGCTCCTGAAGAGGACGTTTGCTCCAGGGTTCAGGGTTTAGGGGTTTTAGGGTCTAGGGTTTAGGAGTTTAGGAGTTTTAAGGTTTAGGATTTAGGGGTTTTTAGGGCTTGGGGTATAGGGTTTGGGTGTTTTTGTTTTGGGCAACATATTAGAACCTCTCAAGTCAATGGATGACGGAGTGCCGGGCTGTTCAAACCTTGAATCACTCAGCCCACATGTTCCTCTACTTTTGCTCAAGACCATATTCCCAAAAGTCTTGGGGTCTCAATTCCGCAGACACACTTGTCAACTCCGTGTGTTCGCACTGTCGCGACAATGCTCTTTTGGTATGAACCTAGCAGAGCATCAGGCCAGTATGCTTCTTAGTGACCTTACGCCTCACAACCTTATGATTTTATACCATGCTAGAAGCATCTAGAACACAACATGAACAGCAGATCCGAGAAGCCCTATGCCAAGTCCCCAAGCCTAGAGCTTAGATGTCCTTCCCGGGTCCTGAAGGGTTTCAGGGTCGGCAACCCGAGTCGCATTCGAAAATCTGCGAAGGATTGTTGCGGGAGCAGCCATCGAGCCGAATGGACGGCGGCCAAAATGAGCACTAGACTGACTAACTTCGGTAGGTAGAAGCACGATTCCAGCGAAAACCAAACAACAGCCCACACGCCACTTTGGTGTGCAATCCAGGAAGTTGGAAGCACCACGATGACGGGTAATTCCGCCTCATTGACGGACGGCGCCCAAGCAGGGCTGAAGGCCCGATCATAATCGAAAATGTGCACTGCGCCACACAGTGAAAGCCGCAGAACCGCCTGCCCTTTACGTGCCTCGTGCCCTTGGTAACCAAATCTATGTATCCCCAACCCCGTCTGACAAAACGCAAAACCCCGCTAAACCCTAAACCCCTGAACCCTAAACCCTTAAACCCTAAACCGCTAAACCCCTAAACCCTGGGGGCTTCGGGTCCTCATCAGCCGGTCGATCATCATGATAAAGCCCGTCGAGAGGACCAAGTTCGCCGCAAGGCTCAGGACCGCCACGGCCACAGCCGGTCCCTGGTAACGCAGGGGCCTTAATAACTAGAATAGGGGTTCCTTGAAAGGGGTCTATAAGGGGTACTATGAGGGATCGGTCATTCAGGTTTTCTTTCAGGGATCTATAAGGGCACTATGATGTCGGGGCTTTAATGATTAGAATAGGGTTTTGGAACATATTTTACTGTAATTACAATAAGCAGCCCCCCAGATAGTATAGGTAATTCTTATGGCCCCAGTTTTACTCAAAATCCAAACCCTAGCCCCAAGCCACTGCGAATTTGAAGGGGGCTCCTGCTGAAGGGCAGTGAAGTTCAAGCATCATTTTGGAAGGTTTTCCGGTATTCGAAACATATAGGACTAAGGGCGTTGGTGCTGGGGTTCAGGGTTGGGCTTAAGGGTTTCGAGCTCGGGCTATACAATGCATGAGAGCTACAACATATCTCGTTGTAATTGTAATTCTCGAAACTGCCATCATTTGTCTCAACCCATATCTACCCCGTGTACACATGTATCTGCATGTGCTTCGAATGTAGGGTGTTCTGCTGCCAGTCTGCAACATCACGCTGCTTCAAATTCCTTCCTCTTCCCTTTCTCGCGTGTTTTTCAAACTGTTCGCGTCCTGCATGCCGAGGCCAAGGGAGATCGCAATGACGCCAGCGCCCACCTCGGGGTACTGTTGTCAATCGGATTGGAAGTTTCGTCTAGGTGGTAAAGAAGCCTTAGATTGGGGTTATAAACGGGTGTCTTGCCATGGACTGTGAAAACCGGGAAGGTGCATTGCAAGGATGTCGGTTCAGAACGTCCGTTCGCAGCATGCACACGACAAACGTGTCTCGATTGTCTGAAAGCCTCATCTTGGTTTGCAAACAGCTGCAGATACATGCATGCGTACGAATGCAGCACGTTTGTGTACACCAACACATACATGAGTCAAACCTCAACCCTTGAAGAGCACCCACCTCACCACGCGGGCACATGCCCAGCGAAAGTGCCAGTCGGGTTCGCAAGTTCGCCTCCTTCCTGTAGCAGAACCTGAGTTGCTCTTTAAGGGCCTAGAATAGAAGACCATAGGTGAGACTTCAACCGTTCAAGGTACCCCAAAGTCTCACCCAGGAGCAGGAGCATCATCTTGCCCAAAATCATCAGCAGGGACACCACCGTCACATGGAAGACCATCTGCCCCGCGGTGAGATGCCCCGCAGCCTTCGTCTTCGGATTTAGGGCTTGGGGCTTACTGACGGTTGAGGCTTATGGTGTAGGGACTGGGGTGTCGGGCGCAGGGTCTGGATTGGGATTTAGTGCGAAGGACAAGGCTTCAAACATCCCAAGTGGCCGTGAAGAGGGATGGCATGGACATGCCAACCAGAAGCATGAAGAAGGTGGACACCAGGCTTTTTGCCGCTTCCTCCTTCTTCTCGTCGAGCAGTTCACACCAGTCATCTTTCGGCTCACAAATCCGGGTCATGCAACCCATCACAAAAGCTGGTAACAAGACCTGGGAGTTTCTCAAAATAGGGAACCCTAGTATAGCACCCTCACTAACAAAATCCTTAGTGTAAGGGCCCCAAAATAAGATACCCCTAATTTTCGGACACTCTCACCTCGATGTGAATGCGGCCTGAGGTGAAATTGCAGAGGCCCTCACAGCAAGCCGTGATCACTCCTGCATATAGCATGGTCCAGCTCCAGGAACTCTGCAAGCGAATCTTGTGTAGCTTCTGCCAGGCAAGGCCGAGGCACAAGGTCACGAAGACTGCGTCGAACGAGAGCTCCCACTTGAAGCCGACTAAGTACATTTTCAACGGGATCATAAGCAAAATAGTATCCAAGTCATCAAAGATGGCCAAGATCTGCGCCTTTCGAAAGAGCCACGTCTCTTTGAAGCCCGCGGCCTCGACAAAAAAGGGTTCAGGGTCAGCTCCCAGTAAGCACATGGGACTTAGTAAGTAGGGTTTAGGGTTCCTTTTTGGGGTACTATAGGGTTCGATAATAGGGTTCCTTAAGCGGATCTATAAGGGATCCATAGTGGGAGGATCATGGGACTTAGTAGTTCCTTCAAGGGTACTATAGCGTTCTATAATGGGGCTCCTTGAAGGGATCCTTAAAGGGATCTATAATGGAGGATCGTGGGACTTAGTAAGTAAGGTTATAATTACCGTGCTCAGGGTTTTAAGTATAGTTACCCTAATTATAACCCTAGTTACTAAGTCCCATGATCCTTTAAGTAGCCCAGGCTTCAGGGTTCAGATCAGTTCAGGGTTTGGGATTTTGGGGATTTGGCTTTAGATGTCGCCTCGAGCATGTTGAAGAGTATCCCGGCGCTCGTCGGCGCCGCAAACCTCGCCATAAGCAGCGCGGAGCCCCAAGCCAAGCCGGAGTTCGGCAGCGCAAAGTGCAGCCAGAGGGCCACGAAGATCCAAGGAAGTCCAGCCGCAGACATGGCCACCTAGCTCATGGCAAGTACCCAGAGACTCCAAGATCCTTTAATTAAGGAATATACCTTAAATTATGGTAGGATCCCTAATACGATTTTGGAGTCTCTGGGTAATTCAAGGAGAACTAGCCAAACAGCTGTTGGGGTGCAGGCTTACCCTTCGGGCTAAGATGGTGCGTCGGCGACATGCCGTCCTTAGGCAGGAAAAAAAAAACGGATTCTGGGACAAATGAGCTGCCAAGTAGTCTTGGGCATAATTGCCCAGCTTGCTTCGCTCGATCACGAACTCATGGCCCACATTGACCATCAGAAAGGAGAGCGCAAACATCGTGAGCACACCGACCACGCGGCCGTAGAGGGCATACCTTAGCGACAGCAACGACCACAACCGAAAACAGCAGCAGTAGCAGCAGCAGCAAAAGCAAGCAGCACCAGCAGCACCGCCACCACCACCACCATAATCGTTGTCACCATCATCTTCTTTATCTTCATCATCAGAGACTATTGACCAATAGCCACAATCACCAAGAACCGAAGTGCTTCCTCTTAGCAGGCCAGGTACGCGCCGGCATTCAAGTGGCCAGCAGAGAGCTGCGAGATGGTAAGTCCGAGCACCAGCATGCCAGTGTAAACCAGCCTTCGGCTGGGTAGTTAAAAGGGTTTCTGTAAGGGTCCCTTTAAAGGGACTTATGGGATTCTATAAGGGTACAGGGTTTAGGGTGTATTTGAAGGTTCGTGGGTAGTTATCAGTGGGGTTATAAGTAGGGTAACCATAAATAGGGGACGTATCACCCCACTTCTAAGTACCCACGAACCTTCAAGTAGGCTGGCTAAAAGCGCCTATTAAGATAAGGTGTCCTGCTGGTTTGCGCCATGTCTTTTCCTGAAGTACTTCACAAAACCGCGCTTGATGCTTCTGGTAATTCATATTTTCGCGACCTAGCATTGAGATATCAGAGAGAAGGAAGCACAGTGCCAAGTGCACCCGAGAGACAGCTGCTGCTTGCCGCCGCCACTTTCACTTGCCATGGCCGCCCCCGCCCAAAAGCTGGAAGGATCCACCCGCTAACGGCCTTGAAGCAATGCTGCGGCAAGCAAAAACAAACCCGTTTCGCCACCGTTGTTGTTGTTGTTGCTGCTGTTGCTGTTGCGATCATGAATCGGACGATTGCTAGAAGCATGAGGACCCCTAGAATGAGTTTTCATCGGAATCATACTGGTATAGGTGTGTTTATACTGGTACTATTTACGTAAACGACTACAAGCTCTATCGTCAGTGTTTTGCTGGAAAATTTGAACGCCATGGATCTCTCAGACCTTCGCTACACCAGAAATTAGTCACTCAGCAACATCACATCGTGCGGGTATGGCTTCTGTGTCTCTTTACGTACCTACATCCTTGAAGCCGTGAAGCCCCATCTCCTCTCAAGCCACACGCCCATCCTGGAGCCGTGCCAGCAGCTCCCTAAAATCCTGCAACGCAAACACAGCGGATTACACAGCCCTGCTTGAACCAACTCTGAAACCAGAATCCCTCGCAAAGCCCTCGCGGATCCCCAAACTTGTCCTTCCCTACAGCACTGCCGCGTTCACAGCAGTGCTCCATGGCACGACCGTGGGCAGATTTCACTTTAGGGCGAAGGGATGCGAGGGGCTTGGGACAGGTTTCGTCAGGATTGTAACGGTTATCGGTTATCAGAAGGATTACTATAAGGGTCACTCTAAGGGTTCTCCAGAGTTTAGCTTTAGGGCTGCGGTCACCAATCGCAGGTTTCGGTGCCTGGAGATGCTTGTTGTGGAGGGATATCGGGTGCATCGCATGTTGGGTCTGTCGAGTTTTGGGTTCGGGGTTTAGGGTTCAGGGTCTAGGGTTTAGGGTTTAGGGGGGGGTTCAGGGTTATTCGCTTGTGTTTTGGGCTTTCGGATTTGGGCTTTCGTGGGGACCCTGGCCTTCGCTAAAAGCCCGCCCCACTCGACAGCCAAAGGCATCCAAGAGACAGCTCGCAGGCTAAGGCAATTCAGGGCCTGAATAATACCGAGGATACAGTATAATGCCACAAGAACTACATAGAAATACTCCAGGAAAATGTTCCAACTGACTGCTCAGCCCCCGCCTGATGTTCGGCTCGCAAGTCCAGGCCTCTCAGAATCCTCTGTACCACGAGACACTAAGGCCTGAAAACCTAAACACCCTCCTCCACTAAGATCCCAACCTAAGCCCTCAGACAGCCCTAAACCCTCAGAATCCTTACGCTCTCACTAGCCCCACGAAAAGACTTTCAGACTGCAGAGAGAGCGCAATAGAAGGGCCGTAATAGTGTGCCTCGAGGGGTTTCTCATTCGCAAGGATTACTGTAAGCAACATAAGAGCCTTCGTAGGGTCCCTTGCAAGGTTCGGTAAGCATGTCCGAGAGGGTTACATTTTAGGGTTACTATGAGTTAGTCAGGGGCATCGTATAGGGACTCTAATAATTAAAATAGGGTGTAAGGAGAAAATTATACAAAAAATATATGTGACTTTTAGCAGATACTACCCTTGATTATTCCGACTCCCACATGAGAGCGCGGATCTGGGGACTTAGTCACTAGGGTAACTAAAGTTATGACCTTGCATGCTACAGTACGCCCCTGATCCTGTAAGTGCACAGAATCTGGGCCTGCCTGAAGTGGGAGTTTCCGAAAATAGGGGACCCTAATGTAGCACCCTAACTAGTAGGATCCTTACTATAAAGGACCCCAAAAATGAGGTACCCCCAATATTCGGAAACCCCCAAGTGTGACAGAACCCCTTTTCCCAAACGGTTGCCTGGGCCCCCTTTATCCGAAGCCTAAGCCCTAAACCGCAATCTGCTACGACAGCTGCCTTTGGGCGGGAGACTTCAGGAGTCAGGGGCTTTATCCCTTAAGGTTTCAGATCAAGTAAGATTTAGACAACTTAGACTTGAAGGTTGGGGCAATCCCTAATCGACATTCCTTCCAGAAGGATGCGGGGAGTGCGCTCATGTGACGGCATCCGGCTTTTGGCGTTTCCATTGCTTGCACAGCTGAGCTGGCGTGCTCTGTTCTTCAGACAGCATGACAGCTTTGCTGCAGAATGCAAGCGATTCGTTGAACCAAAGCACCCTTGAAGTCTACAACCTGAACCGTACGTCCCTAAATCCCAAAGCCCTAAACCCTGACCGTTGAACCTTACCCAGGGATGATAGAGAGCCCGTTCCTGTCACAGACCTAACTCTCAGGCTCTCAGTTGCAGGGAAGTCGAACAAGAGGCTTCGGCAGCCGATATGCCTGGGCTTCGAAAGCCAGGCTCCTCTATGGCCCTGTGTCTTGTACAATGCGTCATGGGTATGCGGCTCTGTCTGTAGGGTTTTGGCCAACTGTCGGTGCAGTCTTCGCGCCGAGATAATGGAGGCAGCCGGGTTGGGTCCGCTTGGGGCAACGGCGCAGGCTCAAGACATCTCACACTCAACCGTCACAAAGACTGTGAGTGCCAGTTCCTCCCTCCGACATGGATGCAAAAGACAAGTAAATCCGAGAAGCCTCGATCACCTGTCGCGCAGTGGCAATCGCTCGCCACCTGAAGTGACCGAAGCAGTCGATGAAGCAGTCGGAAAGGTCTTACTTGGAGGTTCATGGGTAGTTATAAGTGGGGAAAAATGTCTGGTAACCATGATCATAGTCTGGTAACCATGATCATAACCGGACTTATAACCCCACTTGATAAATACCCATGAGCCTCCAAGTAAGGTAAGCGGTAAGGGGGCCGGTTTGCGCTTGGAAGCTTTCGACTCGAGGGCTTGGCCCGGGCTGGAGTAGACCATAACGGTAGTATATATGGAGCCTCTGCGTGAAAGCCTAAACCCTGAAGCCCTAAGACCCTAAAACCCTAAACCCTAAACCCTAAACCCTAAAACCCTACCCCTAAACCCAAAAAACCTAAACCCTAAAACCCTACCTCCAAATCCAAAAAAACCTAAACCCTAAAACCCTAATGCGATCCGAGGCCCAAGCACAGGACCACCCAGGGGAGACTTGCCGGTTGCAGCTATTGACCACCTGGGCCAGGGCCATCTCCACAGACTGCGTCAATCTGGACGAGTACAGTACACGAAGTGTACTACAGGGGCCTTCATTTTTGAGAATAAAGCTTTTGGGGCCCCTTATAAAATATGTAATGGACACCAAGAACCCTATTGCCAATACTATGCAATAGTATTGGTAATTATTTAGGCCCCTTTATTGCGCTCCGTTCAAGCAAATACGTGTACGACTAGAGAAAAAAGTGGGGAGATGGACAAGTAGGCAGGTAGATAAACAGAAACAAGGAAGAAGGGCTCGCAGATCTTTGATGGGGTCGCCGCAAACCCCGAAACCTAAAAGGAGTGAAGAATATCACAAACGCCAAGTTCAGAAAGCACAGGATGACAAATCAACATGAAATGGCGAGGCATCCCGAACCGACAATCCCAGAAAGAGCGGGATGTGACACACCGCGAACCCAATAACGGCTGCAAATTCATGCCACAATCCTAACAGGACCTTCCTTCTGGTACTGTTGACGATGCTATGGCTGTGAGGAAGGAGCCTCTGTGTCCGTGATTTGTTACGAAGCACTAAGCCTTCAAAACAGAGAACCCCTCGACCCTGCCATAACGAACCATGTCTGAAACCATCATTAACAGCAGCAACATGCAGCAACAACAACACCAGAGCAGCAACAGCGTCAGGAGCAGCAGCAGCGCCGGCAGGGCGGCCAAGACTAGAACAACGACCAGAATCATGCCAACAATGACTATCGTGTGGTATCTCCACGCATCACGATCACATCGCTACAGTACCCATGACCTTTACCCCCTCCCAAAACGAAACAGCAACGAACCACCTGAACTCTGTCCCAATAGAACAAAATGATGGAAATGATAGTAAACCAGAATGATAACAACAATGATGATAATATCAGAAATAGTAAGAATAATAATAGCAGCAATAATTAGAATACTTAGAGTAGTTAAATGGGCGGAAAAGAAGAAAGAGGAGGCTGCCCCCACGAAAACCACGGGTTGGCGAAGCGCCGTCTCCGAAGGCTTTAATGATAACCATAATGGAGATCATAACAACAATACTAATCATAGTGGCAAAATGGGCGGAAAAGAAGAAAGAGAGAAGGATGCCCAATCATGATAATGATCATAATAGTAAGAAGACGAATAATAATGCTAATAATACTTAATAATGGTACTATTCACAATCATAATAATAGTAAAATGGGAGGAAAGGCTGCGTGTCTCCCAGGGCTCCCGGCGGCTCCGACGGCTCCCGCGGCAGCACTCGGAAGTGGCGGGTGGAGACCGCGGACATAGCCAGGGAGAGCCTCAAAAGAAAGCTTTGGGAAGAGGGTCTGGGGTGTAGGGTTCGGGGTTTAGGGTATACGGTTTTGGGGTTTAGGGGTTTGGGGGTTTAGGGGTGCAGGGTGTAGGGTTTAGGGAAGAAGGGTAGGGCTTTGCGGTGCAAGGTTTGGGCTCAGGGCTCCAAAAACGGGGTTGGTAGGGAGGGAGGGTTGGGGCTAGGTTTCAGGGGTCCGAGGGTGCCACATGCTGAGGACCCTGCGGCATCCATGCCTCGATGGCTTCCGCAGCATCGTAGACAGCATTTATCTCCTCCGCATCGCATACGCAGGCCGGGAGGGCAGTTTGCCGGGGAGTGCAAAGCTGTTGTCAAAAGTAAGCCCACTCCTCCCACTTGTCTTTCAATGGAGAATTGCACCAGTGAAACCTGGGACCAGCTCAGAGTTTCAAGAGCCGCTCCCAGCCTACACACAGTGTTGGGTCCGTGACACGAGCATGCGCGAGACATGCCCGTACCAACCAATGAAGCCGATGACGACCTTCAGCCAAAATCACGGGCTACTCCTTCCTCTCAACGTCAGCGTTCAGGATCCGGCCTCGTTCTCGTCTTCCATCACACCGACCCGCACCTGCACCAAAAAGGGGCTGCTAACTGATGCACAGGGTCGACTGCCTCGTTTTGCCGCCAAGAGACCTTTGGCAGGTTCTCCGGTGGGAAGGCCACTCCAAGCTCACCCTCTGGAGTCTGCAAGGGCGATCCCAGCATCACCTGCCCACGCGCAGTGCAAATGTTCCCGCAGATGTTCGAGATCCCGTAACCCAAGTCCCCAGAATGAGGGCCCGGCATCAAGACCGCGCTGGTCAATTTCGTACTGATGCTCATGGTACCTGCCAGAGGATATGGGCCTAAAGCTGGCCGGATCATAGGGTTTGGGTCTAGGGTGACCCCAAACCCTGAGACCTTTCAGGAAAGCAGGCTTTTTCTCCTTCGTCGACAGTCTGAGGTCTGGCCCGACGGACCGCGCTAAACAGGTCCAACATGGGCCCGGAGGGTCCGCAAACGTCACAAACTTGGGCTTTTAAAAGTTTACGCGATCACGTTCTCTTCTTGAGCCCTCTCGGCTTCCTCCTTCGTGTAGGGAAAGCCAGTGTTGGGCCTCGGCGGCAGCATTTGGCACTTGGTTTGGGATTTCGAAGATTTGGGTCTGCTGGGGTAACGTACTTGGTGACTGAAATACACACCAAATCCACTGAAACATACACCAAATCCAGTGAAGTACACACCAAATCCACTGAAGAATTGTGGTAGTGCTAGTCCGTGGCAGGGGCAGCAGCAGCAGCAGCAGCGGGGTACTGGCGTGGATTTTGGGTGCTCAAGACAGACAAAACCGTTACAACAAAGACCACTGCCACAGTGGAAGCAGCAGCATAAACAAGCCAAAGGTGTTGTCCAAAGCACAGCAGTTCCAGTCCAAGACAACGGCCATCGACGGCCGCTGTAGCGGTGAAATCCACGAAACACGTAATGTTAACAATGGCGCACTTCAGAAGTAGCAGCAGCATGCGGCTGCTGCTGCTGCTGAACGTAAGCACCAGAAATCGTCAAGCAACAGACACACTAAATTTGTCAAGCCTCCAAATTCTGACATGACTCGCTGCAATCTAACTGCCGAAACGCCTTTGCAACAACTCCAGCCTACACGTCCTACGCCCGAAACCCCGAACCTCTAAGCCCCAAACCCGAAACCTCCTAAGAACCTCCGGGTAAGCGGCAGCTTTGGCGGAGCCTTTCGCAGTCTCCTGGCAGAGTTCCAAAGCTTACAGCCCGTCGTGCATTTCGGCTTCAGTCAGGCTTCCGGATTTTCGATGCTTAACGTGTCAGGCCCGAGGGCCCATTGAGCCTTCAGGGGCCTTCCTTGTGGGGCTGCGGATCGCCTTTTTTTTCAGGCTTACGGGTTTCCCCATGCTTTTTTCGAAGCTTCGATCGCAGCCCTCGGCCTGTTCTCAAAAGGGTAGTCACCAGCTTCTTGCCCGCCCAGTCGCTGGCCGGAGAGCCATCGCCTGGAGCCGAGACATGCCATCTTGCATAGGCTGCTCGAAATCATGGTCCTCTCTATGCCCCTCCCTTCACCCCTACGCAAGCATGGACATCAAAGCGAGTCCCACCAAAAAACAACCCACGAAGTCCCGGCGAAGCCGAGAAATCTGCTCTCAGAACTTCGCATGCCTGAACGATGCCCGAGGCTTTAACCTTAAACTTTAAGCCCTAGGCACTAGACCCTAAGCCCCAAGCCCCTAAAAGCCCTCACCCCTAAAACCCTGAAACCACCTAGCCGAAAACAGACCCCAAGCTCTACTAGAATCCCTCATAATCCTCCCCCCGTCTGGCGCCTTTAAACCCCCCCGAAAAGACTCGCGATTTGGTGCCTTAGTTCTTCCTCACTCTTGGGCGTGACCAGCAAGCCCCGAGCGGTGAAGTCCTCGCCTGGGGTGGATTAGTGCGTTTTGTGCTTTGTGTCGTGTTCTGTATTTGTCTTCTTGGTTTTGTTTTAAGGGTTTCAGGGTTTGCCTTTGTTGGAACAGGGTTTTGGGGGCTTAGGCTTCCGGGTTAAACGGGCTCTGTGAAATCGTCACATCGGGGATGTAGAGCGGGCTTCCGGTAGCCTAAGAGGGTTATCCATAGCGCTTAAATGGTGTATATAGGGTTGTTACAAGGGCTCATGGAGGCTTGGAGTGGTTTTGTGGACGGATTGGGCTGCCGTCTATTTTGTTGTGGCCTGAGGATCCTGCCGAGAGAACCTGGTTCTCCTTGATAGTGGGTCCTACTAAACTAGCTGGGGTCTACGTCAAGATCCCTGCGGTTTCAGAACCCCATGTACACTTATCACTTCATCACAAAGGTGCATGGGTCGCTACAGGCAAGGTCAGTTGGGGCTGTAAGCAAGAAAAGCACTGCTTGCAAGGCCCAATCAGAACACCTGGTCACGCCTACTCGGTCAAAACGCGGCTGCCCGCCGCCAAAGAGTCTAAGCCCCATACCCCCAGCCCTCAAACAAAGCACGAACCAGACCACCCCATACCCAAAACCTGAAAAGCCTAAACCCTGGTCCTCCATCCTAAACCCCAAACCCTAAACCCTGAGAACCCTCTGCCCTAAACCCTAAACCCCAAACCCTAAACCCTGAGAACCCTCTGCCCTAAACCCTAATCCCCAAACCCTAAACCCTGAGAACCCTCCGCCCTAAACCCTAAACCCCAAACCCTAAACCCCGAGAACCCTAAACCCTGCGGTCCTCCAACCCCTATCAAAAGCCCCTTGCGAAGGAAAAAAAGCGTGGAAGATGAGATCCCAACCCAGCTTCGATGAGACGGGTGCCACCGGTTCGGCCTGCGCTGATAGGGCTTAGAGGTGCAAGGGTAGTTATGAGTGGGATTTAAAGTAGGGTAACCATAGTTATAACCCATATTAGGGGACTTCTACCCCGACTTAAAACTACCCATGAACCTCCAAGTAGGCCTTCCTGTTTGTGTATCCTCGGGTTTTAGGGGAATTAGCCTTGGTAAGTCATACATAAGGTAACTGTAATTACAACTCACCTGGGCTTAGGGTTGACACTCACGTAGGGATCCTTCAATAATGGTCCTGCCATATCGTGTCGATGCCGATAGACGGGTTGAGGCGCGAGGGGATGAGAGGTTTGGTCTGTAGGCATTGCTCGAAATCATGGGCTCTTGTTATGTCTGCTGGGATTTAGAGGCCAACATCGACATCAGATGAGGACAGTCTGTCTACAGGTACATGGCAGGGGCAGGAGATGTCTCAAAATATCCCCGGAAGAACCCTCGGAAACTCCCTTGTTCCTAGACCCCCAAGCCCTAGATTGCCTCCAGGCCATCGTCCTCGATCCGCGCCGAGGTCTCCTGGTACCCAGTCCGATTTGTCTGCCGAAGCTCCGCAGAAGAGGACCCAGAGCAACAAGCATGATAATATAGGGGCTCTATACTGAGAATAGGGTTTTGGGGTACGTTATACTGTAACCATGTTGAGGAACCCCCACAATAGAATGGGTAACTATTTAGGTCCCTGTATTCATGTTCAGGGTTGGCCACGGACCCGAGAAACATCCAGGAGCACTCCAGCGCTTTCGAGACCCCCATGAGTCAAACACGCTCGCTGCACTGCGGCGGGAGCACGATAGATAACCCAGTACACACACAGCACTTTGGCCAGAACACGTGTCGTGCCCAAAAACTGCCCGGGGCTGCTGAGACTCTAACGGCTTCGACAGTGATTTGAAGCTCCAACTCAGCACGAGACTGTGGCCGCAGCACGATTCTCAAACAGATGCTCAAAAAAACTTACCATGACAGAGGCCATAAGAAGAAGCGTTGCAAAGCAGCTTGCCACTATAAGGCTTCTACAGCCTTACAACTACCGAAGAGAGGAAAGATGCCCTTCCTTGAGAATGAGATCCTGCGCTCCTCCTTCATGGCCTGTAGCTCCAGGACTGCCTCGGCATCCATCCAGTTGCCAATAGGCGATGCATCCATCGCCTTCCATGTGCTACAAGCGGTTGGGGTTGAGTTTAGGGTTTAGTATGGGTGGGGTTTCGTTAAGGGCTTAGTGTTCAAGCAAGCTGGATCCAAATCATTCCTGAAGTTTCTGTCTTACTCCAAGTAGCTGGGATACTTTTCATCTTTCTCAGAAGGGTTAATACTTGAAAATAAGGGGTATGACGGCGGCAACGATTTGAAGATCATCAATCATAGCAACAAGCAACAACAATCGTAACGGGAATTATACTAGTATACTAGTATGTACTAACCTTCGATCACGATAGTAGCCATTGCAATACTTACATAATCGTCATAGAAAGAACAGAAACACAGACATGAACACACAGCTCGAGTGGCCATGTAAGCAGGAGAACAACCATCTTAGCGACGGCAATTAAAACCATCATGGTATCCTAAAACCCTAAACCGCAAGATCCTGCGCCAAACCTGGTTCAAAACAATACATGTAATATATGTATATATATATATATATAGAGAGAGAGAGAGAGGGAGATCACTGTTTGCATTGTTGCTATGGTAATTACTACCAGTAGTCATACTACTATCGCGACATCTCTCCGGAACCCCTCCCTTGCTCTTCGAAGCGCCTCGACGAGGCGCATGAAGAGGAGTCCTCCTCCCAGCGCTTCTCGCTCCCACTTTCGGCCTCCATCCTGGCGTTCTATCATTACTTATGTCTAGTTGAATACATCTGTTTTATTTGTTTGTTTATATATATATATACACATATATATCACTAGCGTCAATATTATCACTCTACTTACTAGTACTAGTTGTAGTCGACGTCGTTCTCGTATTTATTACTACTGCTGGCTCTAAACTGTTATTCCTCTTATTATGCTGTTTACAATCAGTACTACCACCATTCTTATCATTGATATTATTGTTGTTCCTATGAGTACTAGTGTTACTATAGTTGTTACTAGTATAATGTCGTCTGTTATTATTCATTACAATTTCTGTTGCTATGACTATGACGATGACTGCGACTATGACTGTGACTATGACTATTACTGCTACTGCTACTGCTACTGCTACTGCGATTACTATTGTCATGATTATTGTTTGTATGCTTGTTTGCTTCGTTGCTATTATTGATACTACTAATACTACTATTACCGTTGTTATCAGTAGTAAACTTTCTATCACGCGATGACGTGATGCTCATGATTAACAAACGATCACTTGCTACTGTCTTCATCATCTTCATCGATTTTCAGTCTTAGTAGCTTTAAGAATATGAGTAGTAGGTAGTACTATTCTCGGAATCTGTTATTGCGACTATCAGTGCTAGTACGATTAGTATTATT